GCGTGTCGCCATCATTAGGTTTTCCAATGCATGTTAAATCTTTTTTACGAGAGCAGCATTGATTGCAACTGGGGTTGTATTCTGATTGGAGAAGTATTCTTTTTTATTACTACCGCATTAGCGCCTCACCGTGAAAATACTCAAATGGAACCCAATCATTGTTCAGGCATCAGACTTAGCAGCTTTAACCGGTACAAATTCAACGCCCGTGGCAATGAAGAAGCAAATTGCTGATGCGTTTTAGTATCTTCTCTGCGGCGCAGAATGAAATTGATGCCTGAATAGTTCACAGGCAAGATCAAAGCTCTAGCAATGCGAGGATATATCATAAAGACTCCATTATCGATACGCGTTCCCCACGCTGGAAATGGTCGGTAGTTAACGGTGGACTTTTGTATATTAAATAATATACGTTTAATAATTACTTTTTAAAGACAATACTTCCAAAGAATCCAGTGTCTCCAATCTTACAGATGTGCAATGAATTTCTCATTTAATTTTCGATTATTAAAAAAAGTGATTTTTCGTTTTTTTCAATGTATAAAATTTTTTTAATATATAATTTTTTTCAAATTATTCATTCTGTGAATTGATTCATGCATTGCCTCTGACTTCACACAAGTGTGCAAAATTTCAGATCAATTAGACAGGTAAAAGTGCATCAAATATCAGTTATAAGATTTATAGCTGACCGAATTATTTTTTCTATTTTTTTAATATTAAAAAAATTTTATTTTTAATTTTAAATTCATTTATTTTGACATTTGATTCATGAATTGTCTCCAACTTTAAGCAAGTGTGCAAATATTCAGATCGATTGGATAAGTAGAAGTGTGTAAAATTTCGATTACAAGCTTTGTGGCAGATAAACAAGAAGTGAAGTTCAGAGGAGTGTTGTAAAATAGGCTAATTTCGCTGCCCATTTTACTGTCACGCATCTGCAGGAATGTTAGGTGTTATTAGAAGAAGATACAAAGACTATCAACAAAAACAAAACTGACTATGTAGACATAGTTAGAGTAACATTCTAGTTCCGTTAGACCTTTCAAATTTTAGAATTTTTGATTTTAGAAACGTTAAGTCAGCCTAATTTTCGTATCCACTTGAATTCAATGGGTACAACTGAATTCATGGAATAATAAAACCATTGACGAAGAACATATTCTTCGTGCTTCTGGTGCTTTTGTCAGCAAAGTATTGATTTATGTCCAACGCGCTCATCTGTTCGTGTATGAATACAAAGTATCAGCGTGGTTCGTGCAAAGCTAAACGATATCACATTTCTGCGAGAAATTGCAGCAATTATTGTCGTTTCGAGCTTGAATGTCGATGATTTGCAGTAATAAAGCATAGTCGTGTTTAGTACCAAAATTACTAACCATCTTTACGAGCCTGGATGACGAAGGGTTTGCAGCTATAAAATAAAGTCGTGTTTAGTAACGAAAATGTGATCAGGGAAAAGTTCATATTATTCTACTTTATCAGATGTCGCCTACGTTGTCGTTTTGAATTTCTTCTCCATTTGTGGAAACCGACCAGCAGTGTAAAAGACGACTATATTCACACATTTAGAGGAAGGTGACCAAAATTTTCGTATGATCGTGACTTTCGGTCTCTCGTTTTTTGATTAGCAGACTGAGTAAAAACATGCAACTTATATTGGCTCAAGGTGCGCTTTATGCGTGTTATGCGTTTTCTCAAAACCTCTTCTGCAAAATTATAATTCAACCTTGTTCTTTACTGAACGGCAATATTAATGGAATATAATAATTAATAATGCAATAGTAACTGAAAAACATACATGCAAACTCGTGAAAATATTCCATTCGAGACAGCTTCCACACTTTGTTACAACAGAAGAGGTAAAGTTTATTAGCATGAACACGGGGTTGAAGTTTCATTCTCAAAGATCAATCAAGATCATTCAAACGTCGTAATTAATAATTGAATTGAATTAAAAAATTCTTTTTGTGTAAAAAAGTAGCTCGAACACGGGGTTGAAGTTTCATTCACAAAGATAAATCAAGATCATTTAATGATTGTAATTGATAATTGAATAAAATTAATAAATTCTTTTTGTATAAAAATTTGTTTTGGGCAATGTTTTGAAGGACAAGAGACTGTTTCTTGATAATCGAATCATAACCGATCAAAATTTTAATTCCTGTCTGCCGCTGGCGCAAGGACGCCCCAAGCTCGCTTAGCGCGTAAATTAACGGTTATATTTCCGCTTTAGGTTCTGGTTGTGCACGGGAGATAAGCGCCTGATTAGGGTCCGGTTTATTCCTTGACAACCGTGGGGCGAGTGCGGGGCGCGCGCATTTGGTACCTGATACGTTTGGGACTGACAGCCGAATATGAAAAGTACGTTAAAAATGACCCCAATTTTCAACCCCAATTTTCCTCATTACCTACAATATTCTCCAATATTTACCAGAATGCAAGATCCTCTCAGATTGCCCGAGCAAAACAATCTTCAATATTCATCACCAGTCGACATTCTCACACAATGCCCAAAACCAAACATTTTTCAATATGCAATAGAACTCAACGATCAAGATTCCACAATATACAACACCGCTCAATATTATCCCACATTATCCATGTACAAAACGATCCACCAATTCACCCGTACCAAGCACTCCTACCTATTGCGGTAGTAGCGGTACTAATCATTTTATACGTACGGGTGAGCAAAAAATTCTCTCACCTTAACCAGTATTCAACCTTCTCTCATATTCGCCAGCACCAAATATTCACACACACTGTTTAAGCAGCATCCCGCAATAATCAGTTGAATCAGTCCTCAAAATTTTCCAAAAATATTTGCAAACAACTGCCTATGTGTCTACAGGGCTCAATTCTAACCACTCCGACATAGCGCATATTCAATATAGTTGCTAATTCCTATTCCCAGGTATGAAGTACCTAAAATATAGTGAAATTATTCGCGGTAATGCTATTCTTTCCAATCCCGTGTAACCAAAAAATCCCGAATAACGCACGCATCCTCTCACATTAATCCTCGCTCGAATAACGCAAACATCCTCTCATATTAACCAGTATAATACACTCTCTCATTAGTCTCATATTCCGTCGACCAGTTGGCGGAATATAGTCTCATACCCCGCTGATCAGTAGCTGTCCGCCGACCAGTTGGGAAAGTTGCCAGGCGCCGCTACTTAATTTGAGCACGGAACGTCAATCGACTGCTGACGAATCTAAGCCTTCGGTTCCACGATCCACAAAACGATCCTGATGTCTTGGTTGGTGAATCAGAAATTATAACCTCGAGTATACGAACACGAACAGCTGAAATAACACGCTCGTGCCAAAATATACCCCTAGTAAAAAAATTCACCAAAAAATTTCAGCAAAAATCTTAAAGCTCAACGGAGTGTTCTTGAATGTCGTCATACTGAATAGCGGGTAGAACTGTGATGCAGGCAAAACGATGTGTTAGGTTACACTATTGGTGATACTGGGTCTCAGTCCTCTCAGGTTATACTGGGTCTACGTTAACACTGAGTCTCAGGCGACACTGGATCTCAGGTAACTCTGGGTCTCAGAAAGGGAGCGTCTAGGCTAGGGTAAAATTTATCTCGGCTATTTACAGACGGATCACTCTGAAACTTGGTACGCATATGTAAAACAGAAATCTAAGACTTTTTCCTTCATGTGAATTTTTGGAAAAAAATGAAAGAAAACTAGAAAATCCTAGAAAACGGCCAAAAATGGGTTTCCGTAGAAATCTATCTCCTACTAGGATTTTCAAGGTACAACATCGAGACACATATCATTCGATGTGTAAAGACCATATCTATGAATTTAAAAGCAAAGAAAAGTCCACAAAAATTCATATCTTTATAGAAAACGTTTCGGAGACCAGCTCCATCGTCAGTTCGTAGAATCTAGAATCACGAATCAGAAGTCACAAATTAATACATATGATAGAATTATGTTGTGAGTTTACGTAATCAAAGAATGGTTTGACATGAGAAGGATGTTTGAAAATTAAAAAGGTGTTATCGACGTATCTGTTATAGAATATTGGCTTAAAATCGAGAGGACAATTGGCCAGCCAAGAAACCTCGTGAAAACACAAAAATATTTGCGAATGAAAAAAAAAATATATATATATATAAATATTTGCGAATGAAAAATAAAAATATTTGCGAAATAAAAATATTCCATTCGGCTGTGCGCGCTCACGCCGAACAGTGTGATGTCCCTATTTCTGATAGTGACTTTAGGGTGTTAGCTTCCACCTCCGGGACTTCCGATTTACGCATTTTAGAATCACTGTACATCTTTAAACTTAGGCCCAGTTTGAATTCAGCTGCTAGCTCCTATCCCCTTGAAATTGTTAATAGATAGTTCTTTTTTTTTTGCTCCGTCTATTACTTGTAAATTTAGGTTTTTAATTTCGTTCTGTGCTTTCAATGTATTAATTTGTGACTTCTGATTTGTGATTCTAGATTCTACGAACTGACGATGGAGCTTGTCTCCGAAACGTTTTCTATAAAGATATGAATTTTTGTGAACTTTTCTTTGCTTTTAAATTCTTAGTTAATTTGCGATTTAAGCAAACAACTGATATAAAGACCATATCTATAAAACGCGTTTATGGAAATTCTCATTTTTGTGGGTGTGGGGGCATTTTTCGTAAATTTTTCGATTTTACCCCCCCCCACACCCCCCGTTTTGTGGAATAAAATCCAAACTATAAAGAAATTAGAAAAACGCCTACAGAAATTTGTTGATATTTTTTTGGCGCATCGAATGGTATATGTCTCAATGTTGTAGCTTAAAAACTCTAGGAGGAGATAGGTTTGCCATGAGAGAGGTTTTCAGGTTTTTAAACTTTTCAGTAGAGGCGAAAAACCGCGGCGCGCTACGTAAAGGCATGTAACGTAGCTTAGATACCGAAGGAAAGCGTTATCCAACTTCAAAGTCAGTCAGCGGTGCATAGGACGACTACATCAACACCTTTCCGCATGATGGCTGAGTGGAAACTGAGCTGCAGGTCCAGACTCCAGTGAGAGCACATTTTATATGGCTTGGCCGTAGTTATCCCCATAGACTTTTGTGAAGGGACCCCACCAACCTTCCCCCTTTTGGGATCTGTCCTGAACGCATAAATCAACGAACAGAGGTGGTTCTAGTACCGTTCGATGCGACAGAAAGTAAGCTTTAAGATGAGCCTAAAAACCGGAAAAGCCGAAAATTTCGATTTTTAGGCTAGACGCTCCCCTTAACGTCGAATTTCAAGCAACTCTGTGCTGCGTGTGGCCATGGGCTGCTATTGGAATTTGTGTTATTTTAAATAACCGAATGTCATTATAAATTACCTATTCGTAATTTTTTGCTCAGAAATAATCTACAAGTATTAATGAAATATCATTTCCTGAAAGCCATTCTGAAAAATGCGGTCATAATTCCTCTTTATCAGGGATGAAGATTCGTGGGAACAACCGCCGTCGGACTTCGACATGCCGGTAGAACCAGAGAACCGCTGGACGAGGGTGAAGACCCGCACCAAAGAGTTCCTGGAAACCGTCACTATGAATGGCATCATGCAGATCTGCGGGTAACCGGAAACATTTCAGTGTATTGTATGAATTCTATACAAAGTCTACAGATTGACTGAAAGTTTTCGACCAAGGTCAATCGACCCATAAATGCCCCGAATATATGATGAGTGTCACAGTACGTTGTTTCAGCGCCCGTCTTTGGTTGCGTCGGCTCGCGTGGTTGTCGTACCTCATTCTGTGCACGGTGTACAGCCTCATGCAGTGCTACAACGTCTACAATGAGTACATGAAGTACCCTAAAGCTGTGGCTGTTCAGGTGGGGCATTAAGAATATATATACCTCAGAAACGATTTACAAATCTGTTGCATCCAGTGGCACAATGCTGTGCTGATCGTGGCTTATAGGCTTCTAGTGTGTTAACAACAGGCAGCTATCATTCTATAATAGAGCACTTCCTCTGAAGTTACTATTGCAAAAAGTTAGTAATTTCAAGAGTGTCTGAGTCTAACCCAGCAGGCATCTGACGTTGAAACAACGTTAATTATTGGTTAATTTCAGATTGAAATGTTGAACAACCAAAATTAACGTCATATCAACGTCGAAATCTGACCAACACTAGAAGGGACGTAAAACAACCTTATTCCAACGTTGAAATAACGTCGATATTGGTACAATACTAGAAAGGACGTAAAACAAACTTATTGTAACATTGAAATAACGTCGATATTGGTACGTTGAGTTTTTACTAATTTTTAAACGTTGAATCAATGTTGATATCAGATTGAGATGCTGAACAACCCAAATTATACGTCCAATAAACGTTGAAATCTGATCAAAACTAGAACGGATGTAAAATAATCTTATTTCAACGTGGAAATAACGTCGATATTGGTACGTTGAGTGTTTACTAGTTTTTAAACGTTGAATCAATGTTGATTTCAGGTTGAAGTGCTGAACAACCAAATTTAAACGTCATATCAACGTCGAAATCTAACCAACACTAGAAGAGACGTAAAACAACCTTATTTCAACGTTGAAATAACGTCGATATTGGTATGTTGAATTTTTACTAATTTTTAAACGTTGAATCAATGTTTATTTCAGGTTGAAATGCTGAACAACCAAAATTAAACGTCTGATCAACGTCGAAATCTGACAAAACTAGAACAGAAGTAAAACAACCTTATTTCAACGTTGAAACAATGTTGATATTGGTACGTTGAATGTTTATTTATTTTTAAACGTTAAGCAACGTCGTAGTAGCAACATCGATTCAACGTTGCATTGTAACGTCAGTACGAAGTTGCATGAAAGATGTTGCTTCAATTTTCATTCTAAACCTCCTTTCACCCCGATATCAAAGTCGTAATGTGTAGTTGATTCAACGTCGATTCAACCATAGAATTCAACGTTGCAGCAACGTCGTAGTAGCAACATTGATTAAACGTTGAATTGTAACGTCAGTACGACGTTGCATGAAAGATGTTGCTTCAATTTTCATTCTAAACCTCCTTTCACCCCGATCTCAATGTCGTAATGCGTAGTTGATTCAACGTCGATTCAACCATAGAATTCAACGTTGCATCAACGTCGTAGTAGCAACATTGATTAAACGTTGAATTGTAACGTCAGTACGACGTTGCATGAAAGATGTTGCTTCAATTTTCATTCTAACCCCCTTTCACCCCGATCTCAATGTCGTAATGCGTAGTTGATTCAACGTTGATTCAACCACCGAATGCCTGCTGGGAAGTCATGTCGAGCTTGCTAGCTGCTTAAAAGCTGCACTTCAAGTTCGACCGAGCGGAGATAGATGCTGATTTAAGTGCTACCCGAGTAATGGTCAGCACCTGTGGCAGAGTCGGGCTCAAATCAAATCCTAATTTTGTTAGGGGACCGCGGGATGCCAAAATTGACTACTGCTCGCCAAAATAAATTTTGTGATCTCAGCTTCAAACGGAGCGCCCAGCGAAGTTTCCAGCGGTGACTTTATGCAGCCTGAACCCCATCAACAACGAAGAGGCGCTACGCAACGACTCCGTCTACGGCGCCTTCATCGACGTCCAGGAACAGAACTCTGTGGCTGGTGAACGATTTTGAAATTATTATTGATTATGATCAATCAATTAATTATTCAATCAAGGAACTAAAAAATAGATTCCTGTGCATCCGAGAGGTAATATAAAAGAATAACTTTTAATTTCGTTCACAACAATACTAACCTTATGCCTGTATGTTTGATTACGTGCAAATTTGTTTAGCCCCACTAATAAATTCTTTTGTCATACTATATGATTTGAATAATATTATCAGCATTTAATGTAACTGCAACTTAAGTAGCGCTAAATTGTGTAGGGTTTTATTCCCTACGCTGGAGGTAATCCTCTTCTAGGAATGATCAAATTAGTAAGCGCTAAGCAGGATAGAAATAAGTAGTTGACAATTTAGGTATTTTAATCAGAATTTATTCAAAGCTTCGCATTTTAGTGGGCAGTTCTTCATATTTAAGGCAGTAGGTAGAAATCCATTTATAGAAAGCTGCGTCCAGGTTTAATTTAATTTGGCAGAAAGGCAGCAGATGTTGACGATTACTCGAGATACTGGTCAAACAAACGCATCATTACAATAGAGTCAATAAGCTAGTAAATAGTAAATTTACGCTAATAAAAGCATATGGCTCACCTTAATCTATTAAGATTAAGTGCACATACTACGTAGTGCTTTTAGACGTAGAAATCAATTGTAGTAATGATTTAATTTAACGCGTGGCAGTTCCAAACATAAATATAGGTCACCTTAGTATAGAGAATGACCACCTTGGCCAGCCAAGGTAATAATTTTAAGGTTTAAAGTTTAGAGGTTAACAGTTAAAGTTTATAGGTTTTAAGGTTTCAAGTCAAATAGGCAATTTGACGAGCTGGCCAAAGTGTCAAAAGAAGTGAAAAAACGCATGCACCCCAAAACTGAAATTTAAACAAAGCAAAGGTTGTGCACAACAAATTAACACCATTCATTTAGAGAATTAAGGAAACTAAGGTAACATTAAGCACGTAGAGGAACAGAACACGACCGCGCAGTTAAGAGTTTACAGAATTAATCTTTTTTACGAGAGCAGCAGCAGCGGCTCAGCCTTATATGGACTGAGCACGTTCTGCTTCTTCGCCGTGGTCTTTCCAGAAGCCCGGATCGGAAATTTCCCGAACAATTGCTTAACTATATAAATAACATCCATGGAATACTCAATTCGCACATTTTGATGGAAAGTCTGATGTGACTTTATCATCAAGTATTATCGAAGCTAAAATTGATAATCCTTATTTAACTCAAAAAATTCGACTGCGTGATTTTTCGCAAATATATACTAATTCGTAATTTTTATGCACCTGAAATCGTAAATTAAGCAAAAAATCACTTAACAATTCTTGTTGATTTGTGTGCATCATATTTTGAGTTCATTTAAACCTTCAATTAGTTAAGAAGATAATTGCTTTATTTTTATCATAATTTGCTTTCAGAATGTGCCGGCCTTAAAAATGTCAGCGATGATCCACTGGCAGATGGTGAGAATGTTGATATGGGAATATAAACTTTCAAGATATGGGCATGATTAATTGAAATTTTTACTCCAACGACTTCTTTTCGATAAACCTGACTAAATGCGTAGATTTTCTATTTTCATTCCCCTTCACATACGTACATATAGAATTGTGCGGGTGTTGATCGATGTGAAGCTCAGAAAGCTAATACCGTACACAAATCCTTTTTATGGTAAATTAACAGTATTTTGCGAAATGATTTACAGACATATGCGAAGAAAATTGCGACTTTGAGCTACAAACTTACGATTACTACGACTTGAGCAACGATACAAACAATGACAGCTCCACCACCGCGTTTTCTACTGGTACATCGCAAGCATCATCCACATCAACGACTCTCCTCTCGCAAACTCCGAATTCAACGGCTGAACCCGCAGGTAAAGTCAAATATCTTGCCAATTTAACAACTATTCTGATTAATGCCTATTCTATTTCTTATAACGTAACAGCTAGTAAATTCAAAACGAGATCTCAATTTCTACTGTTGCAGGTACAGTTGTATTGTTCCAATGAATTCTATTCAAAATTTCGATTTTTACAGTAGCAAGTACTTCTCCTTCTACTGAATACGCAACAACCGGCGACACAAACAGTACTACAAATGATAGTTTCGCGTCTCGATATGTGTAATTGCTACAAAAGGTTAAACTTGATACAGGGAGGTCCAAAAACAGTTTTTTTTGTTTAGAATAAGAAAAGGAGTTCAATTTTGATAATACTCGCATTTCTTTGGCATTGACGTCAGCCCATAATTGAATTAATCTTCAGACGAGTCTGCGCTCATGCACATAGACGATGCATTGCTGCGACTGCAGTGCAACTTCATCTACCAGTATCAAATGATGCAAGAGCCCCTGAACATCTCCATATTTGCCACTGATAATGGTACTAAAAGCTACGTCACCAGCGAACTGGTCAGAGTTGTTGGGGATCTGAAGTTTTGTCCGCAAATTGGTGAGTTGTGCTTCAACGGACTTCGCAGTTCATAATTTCATGTAATATGTCCAATGACTGGAGCAGTATAGGCATTAAGGGCCACATGATGAACATTAAAAATGGGTTTGCGGAGGCAAGTTCATTGGTGATTATACATTCCGTCCACTTGCCGGTGTGCCTCTGTCCACTTGCCTCTGAAATTACCTTGCAATTTTTTCACTAATAAGAACCTAATACCGGGCTTTCTTTTTCCCACTGCATTTATCAGAGCTGTGGAATGCACAGGCTGTCACCATTCGTTACAACCGAGCTTGTAAAAAGGAAGTTTATGAGGACTTTCTAGGAAACTACACTGGCATCAATATAGGTTGGTAGCTAGCCTGGTTGAATTTCACTATGTTATGCTAGATATTAACTATGTTCGGTTCTAGTTACACATTTAAGAGAAATTTTGTAGAATTTTCAGAGAAATTTTTTTTTGCAAGAAATTATGCTTTCAATAATTATTAGTTGTAGCCCAAATTTATTTCTTTTTACAACGCTTCTCTTAAGCTTCACTTCTTGTTGTTTTTCTTGTTTGTTTGTCTGTCACGAATCTTTTAATCGATATTCAACATACTTCTACCTTCTATTCAAACGATCTGAAATTTTGCACACTTGCGTAAAGTCGGAGACTGTGCTTGAATCAAGTGACAGAATAAATAATTTTGAAAATATTGAAGAAAATTCTAATATTAAAGAAAATTTAAAAAATAATTATTTGTTTAATATATGAAAATAAAATAAGAAATTCATTGTATAAGTGTAACGTAGGAGAAACTGGTCTCTTTAGAAGTGTCTTTAAAAATAATTTCTAATTGCATATTTTATTTAAAATAAGTTTTGTTTACCACATTTAATAATTTTCTTGTGTTTTTGTGACTTCGACCAGCAGGTGGAACACAATAAATTTAGCTCGTTATTAATTTAAATGCTCTTCCGTAAATAACGCTTTACACGTATAACTCGAGTACTCGTAAGCGCAATCTATTTCTAGTCGCATTTTTTAGGGCACGAGTTCATTCCTACAATGCGCTTTCGACCGCATTGCACATTATTTCTTATACGCAATAAACTTTAATCAATCCAGGATTCTTCGCCCGAACTGACAGTATCTTATTAAACCGATCGAAAATTTGGTGCTCTATAATGAATTTAGTTTTTTGTCGGAACCACAGCTTATTGACATGACATTTTAAAAAATTTTTAGGGACTTTTGAACTCAATGAAACTTGTCGCTGACTCGTGAATTATTATGATGCACAGTTTACGAAGAGACCTACATCAGCCCAACTGAGATGAAGGTTTCTTGTGCTTCAGGAACATACACCCCTCTGGGTGAGTGAATTGCATTATTTCATTTTAAACTCAAAAGAACTTGAAAATTTTGAAAATACATTACGGAATTATGGAAAACAGTTTCGAAAAAACGTTACTGTTGAAGATGTTGCAACATTCACGTGGCTTTTGAATTCCTTCAATAAATGTTTATCTGGCCTTTCAGAAATATGGCTGGAATTGGAAAAGGATGAGATGTCCGAGAAGCGAGTCCAATCACTCATAAGCCGCAGCCGCACGTTCGACTTGTCGGACCTCAGGGGGCGCTTTGCCCCCGACCGCGACGTGGCCGAGAAGACGGCGAGGAAACGAGAAGACTTCGTCCAAGTTTGCAGCATCGACAACGTCCATTGCAATTACAAGTAATTTTGCAATTACAAGTAATGTTGCAATTCCAAGTAATTTTGCAATTACAAGTAATGTTGCAATTCCAAGTAATTTTGCAATTACAAGTAATGTTGCAATTCCAAGTAATTTTGCAATTACATGTATTGTTACAATTACAAGTAAGTTTGCCTTTACATGTATTGTTGCAATTATAAGTGAATTTGCAGTTACAAGTAATTTTGCTTTTACAGGTACTGTTGCAATTATAAGAAATGTTGCGATTACAAGTGATGTTGCCATTACAGGTACTGTTGCAATTACAAGAAATGTTGCAATTACATGTAATGTTCTAACTACAAGTAATGTTACAACCACAGGTAATGCTGTTATTACAAGTAATTACAATTAATAATTCAATTACATGTAATGTAATTGAATGTAATGTAATGTTGTAATGTAATGTAATGCAATTACATGTAATGTTGCAAGAGTCAGTGATGTCGCAATCGGGAGTAATGTTGCAAGTACATGTACTGTAGCAATTCCATGTAATGTTGCAATGACAAGTTATGCTACAATTTCCTGTATGGTTGCAATTACAAGTACTTTTACAATTACTGGTAATGTTGCCATGACAAGTAATGTTGCAATTACAAGTAAGGCTGCAATTACAAGTATTGCTGAAAACTTAAAAGTAAAGAAAACTCCACAAAAATTCATAGTATCTTTAAAGAAAACGTTTCGGAGTCCAGCTCCATCGTCAGTTCGAAAATTCTAGAACACAGATAAATCAGTAATTAGTGCAGTCAAGAATACAACGAAAAATCAAAGCTGTAAAACCTACCTATTTACAAACAGAGGCCTAGTTTGAATTTAGCTTCTAGCTCTTACCCGCTTGAAATTGTAAATACAGTTACGCGCATATTTATTGGCAAATTTCAACTCTAAATTTAAATATTGCACCTATGTCCAAGATACTGATGAAATATTAGTGTGCTTGTATTAAAATTCTAGCCTGTAATCGTGTAAACTAATTTCTCACCTTAAAAATATATTATTCATTTAATATTTCCATGTATATCTTATTTTGTGAATTGATTGTTATTTTCCTCGTGCAAAATTAATGGCAACCTTTACATAAAATCAATATAACTCATCATTGTTGATCAAGAATATTCTAGGTTGATGTGAGGATGACTCTACAACATTTCAGAACATTCCAAAACACTATGTGCCTATACTGTAAACCTATATGCCAAATTTGCGCTTGCTCAGTTAGTCGTTGGAAGCAATCGTATAAACACATCTCCAAGATTTTCTAAATTCAACTATGGCGAAGACTTCTGAATACTCACAGGACATAAGGAAGTGTGCAGTTGAACTGCACAACAAAGGAAATGGATATCGAAAAATATCATCAACTCTGAATGTTCCAATTTCATCCGTAAGGAATATTATTGTCAAGTTCAGGAATGATGGGACCACTGCTAATCGAGCACGAACCGGTCGTAATCGAAGATTAACCGAAAGAGATGTGCGTTCCTGCATGAAAATAGTAAATAGAGACCCGAAGATCACTTCCAAGGAATTGCAATCACATCTGGCTAGTACTGGAAAAACTGTGGATGTGTCGACAGTGCGACGCTACCTGAACCGTGAGGGCCTTCACGGGCGTGTACCAAGGATGAAGGCACTGTTGAAGCCAATTCACAAGGAGAAGCATTTGGAGTTCGCCAGGAAGCACATCGATGAGTGTCAACAGTGCGACGCTACCTGGACCGTGAGGGCCTTCACGGGCGTGTAACAAGGATGAAGCCAATTCACAAGGAGAAGCATTTGGAGTTCGCCAGGAAGCACATCGATGCTACTCAAGCAGAACTCAATAATATATTGTGGTCGGACGAGACAAAGCTTTAACTTTTTGGTGCGAATGACAACCGCTTTGTATGGAGGAAATCTGGTGAAACTCTGCTGGAAAAGAACACTCTACCTACTTTGATGCATGGTGGTGGGTTCATCGTGTTGTGGGAATGCTTTGCTGCTGCAGGTACTGGGAATATTTCTGTGATTGAAAATTTATGGAGGGAACTCAAGAGGCGTGTTCATAAAAGAAGACCCAGCAACATCGAAGAATTGAAGACTTTTGCCATGGTAGAGTGGCACAAGATTCCTACTAAAACATCACAACACCTCTTAGAAACATGCAAGAAGCGTCTGTCTGCTGTCATTGCTGTCAAGGGAGGTCACACAAAGTGTTAATATAGAGTTGCCAATAATTTATAGGCTTTTTTTAAATGTTGCCATTACTTTTGCTTTTGGTGTTTTTCTAATAAATATAAATACAACAAAGATCAAACGTTTTATTATCCGTTATGCACAGTAATTAGATGTTCTTTGATCAATTTAACTGAAAATAAATGCAGAAATTGCAATAAATGCTTCAAATTATATTATTTCTCAAATTAAATATTTTTAAGTGTGTTGCCAATAAATATGCGCGTAACTGTAGGGAGGTTTTACAGCTTAGGCTTTTCATTGTATTCTTGACTGTACTAATTACTGATTTATCTGTATTCTAGAATTTTTGAACTGACGATGGAGCTGGATTCCAAAACGTTTTCTTTAAAGATACTATGAATTTTTGTGGAGTTTTCTTTGCTTTTAAGTTTTTAGTGAATTTGCGATTCATGCAAACGTGCGACATTATTACAAGTATTGTTGTATCTACAAGTAATGTTGTAATTACATGTACATGTAATGTTGCAATTACAAGTAATGTTGCAATTACAAGTATTGTTGAAATTACAAATAATGTTGCAATTACAAAAAAATTGCTAATTCCGGAAGTTGCAATATCCCAGAATCCGGAATTCCGGATTCGGGTTAAGATTGTGGGTACATGGTCATTAACCTGCTAAGCTGTTTTTGAAGATTATGACGATCCAAACTAAATTTGATTGGCAAGACTCGGGGTAAAATTGTGGGTAAATGATTGGTAACCTATGATTCAAGCTGTTCATGCAAACTGTGCCTATTCGCTCACACTCCTATCTCCTTACAAGTAATGTTGCAATTGCAAGAGGGACTATATAATACTTTCTGAAAGCCAACTCATACCTTATTCGCTTTCTTCTTGAGATTTATTCAGTACACCTTATTAGCTGACTCATCTATCTATATTTAAAGCAATGTCATACTATATTTACTTGCACGAGTATGATGTTGATATGCCTCTTAAGAGGAAGATTTACCCCAAAAATTGAAATTGATTTTCGTTTTCTGATCTCATTTTGTAGCTATAAAATGGCTCCTCTAACGCAACGAACCACATGTATGTGAATATTTTAGTTTGTGCGTTGGGCAGTTTATATCTTCTGAAAAATAAATATATTTTCGCAATAGGTACAAAGATTTCTCTAAAAATATTTTATTTATAGATTATTATTCTCGTTGAGCGTCTCAACAATAAGTCCGGCTACGCATTATGCATCCGGCCCTCAATGCCAGTAATTGTTGATGAGAAAGTCGGAGTTACAGTACCAAGCATTTTTAATATTTTTTACTTATATTTGAACCCGTGTCACTTATTTGCCTCTCTTGTACAATTGAAATTTCCGTTTCACGACTTCCTCTCGATCATTAATCTATTTACTCTCTAGATTTATGAGCTACAACATCGAGAGGAGTATCATTTGATTCGTAAAGCGTATATCTAGTAACTCTAGAAGCCCTTTTTCAGATTTATTCATTGTATGGATTATATAATACACAATACAAACCAAAAATTTCTAAAATTTATAATATATATTATAAAAACAATGGAGAATTTGGTGTTGAAGAAAAACGGAAAAATTCTTCTAAAAAAGTAAAGCGAAATCTAAAAAATGCTTCTACAATCACTAGATATTTGCATTACAAATCTAATGAAATGTCTTCCAATGTTGTAGCACGTAAAACAAAATAGGAAATTTTCTTTGCATTTCATGTTTTAATTAATTTCCTTAAAAATTTAAACGAACATAATATGCTTGTATTAGTGTTGTCTATGTGCGTTCGAAATTTCAGGAAGATCCGTCAGGTGCAACATTAGTTTTTTGGATACATCCCTTTTAATTTCCACCCTTCAGTATTTCCTATATATTTCAATTTCCGAACATTCTCGTTATTTTCATATCGATCTGAGAATTTTTGTTCCGGCTTTTAATAATTTTCAATCTATTCAGTAGGGTTGCCATTTTAGTTTCGACCCTAACAGATGAAGGCTATGAAGTAATAGTAAGCTATCATTAAACTCCCTTCAAATTTATGATCATTAAACTCAATTCAAAAAAATTAATTTTACCCATCATGCTCATTGGTTCATTTTACCACTCTTTTGAATAGCCAATCGTTTAATAATAACGAGTTGCTCTTATTCGACCTTCACTCTTAATTTACCATTTGAACTAGTGTCTCCAAAAAAATGAAATTACTCCTTCACATTTATGAGTAATAGCACGAGAGAAACAATAACAATAGCTATCTTTTCATCGTAAATGTTCGAATGACGCCCATTGTTTTCCATGATATTTATTGTTTTTTACATACGCATAGTTAACTTGAGTAGCTGTGACCTCTTTCACCAATAATTCAAGTGATTATTATACGCGTAATTAATTAAAGGAGCCACAGACCTTGCTTCTGCAGCTGATCAATCTGACCAAAATATAATATGGAGGTCCTAGAAACAATCATCCAGGAACTAATCTGATGCTCGATTTTAATTTTTTTATTATGGGCAATGTGAAAACACAGTTAGAGATTATTTTCTTTATCAGAGATTTCTAAAAAACCCTATTTTCGTGATACCATAACATATCATCAGAGGTGGGCAGTAGCGCGCTACATGTAGCGGTAGCGGTAGCGGCGCTACATTTAAGCAATTGTAGCGGAAGCGGTAGCGCCCGCTACAAATTCAAGTACCGATACGAGGTTTTGCCGCTACAGCGCTATCGCTACATTTATAGATAAAGCCTTTTGATTTTACTTAATAGTGTTAAATATTATTTAAAAACCAGCATGATACATACATAATATAAATCACAGAATAAAACTGTAAGAAAGATTTCGGTGTAATGTTGTCAACCTCTGCCTGTTACTAGTGTCAACATGTTAGTTGTTACTTGTTGTTGTTACCAGTTACCACTTATAGGTATTTTTTTCATGTTTCAGTTTGCTCACAGTTATTTTTATGTTTCACCTTCCCTACATGGATGTCTACTTTAATCTACCAATCTCAAAAATAATCCACATATGGTATACAGGGTAACCCCCCCAAAAATTGCAAAAGGTAAAGGCTTTAAACGAGGTAAACGCGAAAAGTATTTAACGTAGAAACATTAAATAAAAAACCACATCAAAGAGTATAACTTCAAATTTTATTCAGATTATAATCAATGTTCAAAATGACCTTGCTGTTGAATACGCAGCTTAATACGTTTTTTTTCAAAATTTACGGTTACTGCAGAAAAGGTATCCTGGTCAATAAGTGCGAGAGCTTCACGAATTGCTATCTTCAGATTGTCAATGCTGCTTGGTCTTGTACTGAATACTTTTTCTTTCACGCAACTCCATAGGAAGAAATCCAAAGGTGATTCATTAAGGGGGAGGTCTACCTTCCGGAAAAACTTTTTTGTTTACGGACGGATCTTTCTGAAACTTCACACATATATGTAAAACCGCAAAAGAATCACATTTTGTTCGTGTGATTTTTTCGGAAAAATCTATAGAAAACGTGAAATTCATAGAAAACGGCCAAAAAGGGGGTACTGTCGAAATCCTACTCCTAGAGTTTGAAGCTACAGCGAAGAGACATATACCATTCGATTCATAAAGACCATACCAATCGAGAAACGAAGCCCGATTTTTTATTTTTGCCTTAGTCTTTTTTGTACACGCATTTAAATTTTTGTTTTCTGCAGATTTCCCCCACCTTTCCCTCCATTTTGAATCCAAACTATGCACAAATCTAAAAAAGGGCTTCGTTACTCGATAGGTATGGTCTTTACGAATCGAATGGTATGTCTCATCGCTATAGCTTCAAAACTCTAGGAGGAGTAGGATTTTCCGTGACGAGAAGTTAAACTTTTCAGGAGAGCGCGACAAAGTCCCGCGCGCCTCGAAATAGGCACTCAATGTAGCATGGCTACCAAACTACAGGCTTCTGTAGCTTGCTTCCACTCAAGGATGGTAGCAGCGACTTGCAGTACACCTCTCCGTACGAAGCGACGCGGGTGACTAAGCCTTGATGCCAGAAAACACCAATAATCTAGTGCTGGCCAGCGAATTTTGCCCCATCTAATTACTGGAGGAACTCCCCCCCTCCGCCCCCTTTAAAAAGCAGTCGTGTATGCTAATGTTTACGTACACATACGGCAGTGGTACCGTTGAATAGCTCAGAATGTCAGCTTTAAGATGAGACTAAACGAGTAACTAAAGCGCAACTCAATCAGACACTATACTTAAAATGCTCAGCAGCTAAATTACCTTGTATCTAGTTAGTGAAGGAACTCCCCCACTCGCCCCCTTTAAAGAGCCGTCATGAACGTATAAATTAACGTACAGAGATCGCAGTGGTACCATTGGATAGGGCAGAATATCAGCTTTAAGATGAGACTAAAAACCGAAAATGCCAAATCCGAAAATTTTAGGGTAGACCTTTCCCTTAATTCTTTCTTCAATCTTGGCAATGTTTTCTTCTGATCTTCCAGTTCTTTGCCGTCCAGAATGACCTTTATTCTGATTCAGGATCGTTCCTTTATATTTTTACTGACGTATCCACTTCTCGATTGTGATGAAACTAACTTCTTGTCTGTATTTGGTGGAATAACCTCTCTCTATTTTGGTTGAAATTTTCAGGTAAAATTGTTCGACAATGAAAACTCGTTGCTCAGAATTTAGCTGCATTGTAGGGGAATCTCGATGTTAAAAAATAACGAGTTTCAAATATGAAATATATAGAGAACTTTGGTAACATGGATACCAAATAAAACTCGAAGCTATACTCTTTCATGTGGTTTTTATTTCATCTTTCTACGTTTAATACTTTTCGAGTTATAAGCTTTTACTTTAGCAACTTTTTTGGTCACCCTGTATATACAAATAAAAGACTGATTTTTTATATGTATATGTGGATAATTTTTGAGATTGGTAGATTAAAGTAGACATCCATGTAGGGAAGGTAAAACATAAAAATAACTAACTTTTATTTACTGTATCTAACCCGTACTAGTTCGGTTAGGTTAATTGCAATAAAGTTGCATTGATATGTTTTGAAAAAGTTTTATTATCATTAAATGTTTATGAGTAAATCCAATAGCATAACAATAAATATTTATAGATTTCTAATCATTTTGGCCATTGTAGCGGCGCTACATTTTACTGTTGCGGTAGCGCTCGCTAGTCTAGTGGATGTAGCGGTAGCGCCCGCTACATTTAGAGCATGTAGCGGTAGCGGCGCTACATTTCAAAGTAGCGCTGCCCAGCTCTGCATATTGTGGTATAATTAAAATTTTTCATTAGAGTTTGAGGTATAATAATAGCAATAATGGCGATTTGATGTCTCCTGAACTTTTTCAGACTATTTCACCCGTACACGACGAAAGATATGGGAGTTTGCTACACGTTCAACAGCCCCCACCTCGTCAAAGAATCCAGCCCCAGCGTCAGCATCGAAGACCGCAGGAAGAACTTCAAGCCAAGAGCTTCGTATAAAACAGGACCGCAGGTCAGTGCTGATGAGTGGACGTTTTTATATTCAAAATTAAATTTGAGAACTTAAGTACAATAATTTTATTCAACTGCTGTTTTCCATGTGATAGAACGGTATTATTTGAAGTTCGAATTTACTCAATTGATCGAATAGAAATGGCTTCTACTTTACTTTCTGATGCTCGTTCATTATTCTACATGAAAATAATTATAAATCGACGTTATATCTAAAACTGGTACAACTGCAAGTAATGTACGGCTGTAAATTAATTTTTTTCGATGAATTCTCAATGCTCTATAACCGATTTTCATCAATTTAAAACATCATTCAGAAGTTTTGATTAGTATTTCTGAGAAGAAAATGTCCTAAGAAAACAAATCATGGAAAGTGTTTCAGCAGAAACCAAAGAAAAGAACCATAATTCCGAGGACACAAAACTAATAAACGTGGGCATTATACTTCAGGGCAGAAAACATTTTTTTGTACAATCCCGTACTGTGTGATAGGATAGATAAACTTTTAACACAAATTGCAGTATTCCTAAAAATACATATTATCATGGAAATGATCAAAATTTAATAGGAACCCTTGTTGTGTCCACCACCTTATACCAATGCTTTAGTTTAAGCCAAGGACAGTAATGCATTTGCGCACGTCGTAGACTCAGGTGGATCGAGTTTATCGACTCCCGGTACGGAAGATCAATTTTTGGCGGCGCATTTTAAGTGATCGTGGACTGTGATGTCCAGAACTCGGAATTTATCATATTGACTAAATATCATGCCGCATCAATCAACTCGAATGCGCACTATTTATACGAATGAGTGTATACGAGCGTGAGTTCACTATTTATATTCATTATTCTTCATACTTTATAAAAAGCACATGTCTTTTACCACGTTTCCAACCTAAATATTTAAAAGAGTTTTATTAAAGCTGCTTTGTTTACCTTGACATCGACACGACCAGAGCGGCCTGAGCCTGACGCTGAATCTGCACGCGGCGAGCTACCTGTCGTTGCTGTCGCCCTGGTCGGGGCTGCGCGTGGTGCTGCATGAGCCTTGGCAGGCGCCCTTCCCGGCCGATGAAGGCTTCAACCTCGCCGCGGGACTGTCCCACTCCATCGCTGTAACCAAGGTGATATAAGGGTGCTGTAAACGTGTTGTAAAGGCAATTCTCACGGTCGATGAAAATAAATCAGTGGATTGCTGGTAATAAAAAGCAATTGTATGTACCTGCAGTTCATGTTTAGCACTTACATAATGTTAAATGTATTCTGGAACTATTTGGCATTTAATTTTTGAGAGTGCTTCAATCACTGCAGTAGTCCGATCCATGGCGCCAAATAGATCGAAACTCAAATTATTTATTGTGCTTTGAAAAAACTAATCCCGCAGACTGTGATGCAGCGCATAGGACCTCCACACGGACAATGTTCCGACACCAATACCCTGATGTTCGACTACTCCGAAGCGGTAAACCTTCTTGCTGCAACCGTAATTTATTATCTTGCACTATGAAGAGTAGATGCCAATAGGTTGGAACTATGTGGATGAAATCTAACTCATAAGGTAATACCTTTTAGAGTGACAGCGTTTAATACTTTGCTCAGGTCATGCTACGTAGAACAGTACCTCAAGTTAAAAAAAAAATAATGCTAAAACCTTATGCTACGTAAAACAGTACCTCCAGTTAAAAAAAATTATGGTAAAATTCTATGAAAATTTCCTCATCTCCCCGTAGCTGTGCAATAAGCTGTGCATTGAACGCGAGTTCCGGCGTCGGTGCAACTGCACCGTCAACGAAGGCCCCGCCTTCGACTCCCTCGCCAAAGAGGAAGAGTTCAAGGCCAAGAAATTCGAAAAGTGTGACGCCTTCGACCGCTTTCAGGGTGAACATGAATTATACTGTCACGTTGTAATTTCCGATTTATCGATAGATGAGATTTTCCTAATCGCCATGATCTAGCAACTATTTATACGTATCGATATCATCAAGCAGCCTTGTGGAGGCATTCTCCATGAGGATTATTACCCGTATATCATGTCTGGTGTTTTCATTTTTTAGTCTGTCCTCGAACTGCATACCCTTTGGGGCACATTCGTTATGTAATTCATTAATATAGTTAAAAATTGAATAGCCTAGGAGTTCTCCTCTGTTTGTTCGTCGCCAGGTTTGTGTATGCAAGTTGTGACCTTCATGGCAACCACCGAGATATTCAACTGCATCTGCTACCCCGCTTGCAAGTGAGCAATTAGCATAGGTGTGATCACGCACGAAAAAGTGACTCGCACTCGCGTTGTCATCACGCGTATTCGTATTCTACATATTTTAATAATCAATTTCCACCTTCTCCCACGAGATTAATTTGTTCTTAGGGGCTCCATTACAGTCATAGTGCACGGAGATCAATGCATAATAATTATACATGCCTTTTTGCCCACATGAAGCTGATAGTTGAGGATATTTTCACTTCAATAAAAATGGTCATATATCTCAACATTGAAAAGTTTTTGACCATTTGTTGAAATTTTGGTTCGTGCTCTTCATTGCATATCCCACATTTAAATACCAGGTTCGTCAAGCCTCCTAAACTATTTTCTCATTTCATAGATTGCGAATGCATAGATTGCAATTTTGCAAACGCGGACTGAGAACCGAAAAAAATAAGCAATTGCTTAAACCTAAAATATTCAACGATAAAAATGCACCTCAGGTTTCTCTCGACCGATTTCAAATATATGAAGCGCCTCTCCGTTAGTATCTCAACGCCCTACTCATCGGGCTCATTCACACTAATCCGTTAGTCCCTCAACGCCCTACTCATAGGGCTCATCGATACTCATCCGTTAGTACCTCAACGCCCTACTCATCGGGCTCATCGACATTCATCCGTTGGTCCCTCAACGCCCTACTCATCGGTCTCATCCACACTAATCCGTTAGTACCTTAACGACTTACTCATCGGGTTCATCCACACTCATCCGTTAGCACCTTATCGCCCTCCTCATCCACACTCATCTGTTACCCTTATCAAAATTTTGATTCCTGTCAGCCGCTGGCTCACGGTGCCCCAAGCTTGCCTAGCTGTGTAAATTAGCTGCTCTATGTCTGCTTTAGGTTCTGGTTGTACGAGGTAAATAAGCACCTGATTAGAATCCGGTCTATTTCTTGGCAACCGTGGGGCGACTGCAGGACGCGCGTATTTGGTATCTGATACGTACGGGACAGACACGGCCGAATCTGAAAAATACTTAAAAAATGCCCCTACCCTTCCCATATAATAGAAAGGGAGGGGGCATTTGAATCTATGTACGCTATATATATATGCAGTCTAGTACTACTCGCTTAGTTTTAAGATCAGAGCAAAATCTGTCAGAGGCTCAATTTCATGCGTAGACGTTTACAACTAGTAACTATTTTGATATGGCATGGTTAGAAATGAGGGTAATAATCGTAAATAAAAAATTCAATCGATACATCAATATAACTGATTCGAGGTAATGCAATTCAAGCCAATTTTTCCCATTCCATCCATGTATCCTGCTGAATGAACAACGTTGTGTCATTCTTGTGTGTAAAATAATCAATGAATTATTTGCCGTATCATGTCATGTAACTTTCGTAACAATAAATTTCTATCGAGCAAACAGTTCTGCAAGGGCCGCGAAATTATGCGTCCATTGATGAAAGAAATACCATACAATAGAAAGGAGAAGCACATGTTAATCTAAACAAAATCGAGTTACGGCTGTAACTTGATTGCAGCTTTCGGTTGTTCACACTTCATAGCAAATGAGGATCTTTCTGCTTCCATCGTCAGCTGCTGCAATGACAGTATTGAGTTTCACATGTAGTTCTTCTCAAGCATTAAAGTTATCAACTGCACTTTAAATTCCAGGAGAGACAATCAAATAAATAGCGGAATATACGATAGTTATGGGAATCCTCAAATCAAATACATTGCTCACAGATGGGCTCTTTTGTAAGCAATAGTTCATAAGCTATCTTCAGCTTGAGCAATAAGCCCAAGCATGCAGACATATACCCAAAGCTGAACAGTTCTTTTGTTGAAGAAACCATTTGCCTAGCAAACAATTTTAACGGGGGTCTGAAAATATTGCTTGCAACTGCTGAAAAATAAAGAATATAGAAGAATTTCAACGTCTAATTCAGTAACCATTCCAATATTGCTGAACTCATGGAAATTTCCTAAACCTATCGTCGTATAATTTGTAGTTCTTCAGAAATAACCATATTCATCCTTATACTTAAATGTAACTCCATCATGAAACCTGACGGAACAATTAGTAACGGAACAAGAGCAACTAACTTACTTGCGACTAATCTGAATACGCTTTGCAAGTTGCAACCGGTTCCATCATGATCCTATCCATCCTGTTCAGCTGGCCCGCCCAGTGGTGAGACTACCGACATCCTAATAACGCGCAATCGACTGTTGCGTAGCTTCGCAGGCAATGATAAACTTTCGATTACACAAGCTGATCCATTTTACGTGCTGATTTGAAAATTAGAAACTTAAGCATATTATCAGGAGCAGCTTAAATAGCATTCTCGTGTCGACATATACCCAAAGTTGAAAATTTCCAGCTCTGCCAAAATCTTGAACGCACAATTGCATAGTCATGATGAATGCCGCCTGCCGCCGAGAAGTATTGCAACGAACTTCAGTTTAGAAAGCACTAGACAGCAAAATCTAAGGAATTTTTATTAATGTAAAAAACGGTAATATTCAGCTTTTAACACTGAGTCGTTTGCAAGTTGTAGACTTCACTATGCACGATAAGATTACACAATTCGAATGAGATGCGTGTATCAACCGACGTCCGAACGGGACGAAGAACTGAATACCACTGCTCAATTTCAGCGCCTTCGCACTGAAGTTCGCAGTCCGCACTACACAGCTGTCAGGCTGTCACTGCCCAGCGTAACTAAAGTCTAATTGGTCAAACTTTTACTCTATCTCAGTCTATATTGATGTTGAGAGCTACGACATTGCTCTTCGCTAGCTCTAGTTTTTCATAATTCGTGATATCTGACACTGATTTCACGATTTATTTTGGTGATTATACAGAATTATATCGTAGTTTCCCTTGCTTGTGATGCATTCAACCAAAAAGCTACAGTTGCAAGAACAAGAGAGCACTGACCTATGCCGAGCATGCTGATACTATGTGGCATTGATTGCAAAATGCTAAGAAGTTGATCCTACAGCAAACAAAGACTTTGTAACGAAGAAAATAAACTCCTTACGAATGTGCAAAAATAAAGTCGTCGATGCTGTCTGGTGCTGGTAGGGATGCTGTCTATCAACCCTCACTGTGGTATTTTTTAAAACCATTTTCGGGACCACCGCTTACGTTTGCATCGCTCTAACTTAATTACGGTGACGCAAACTGCGATCACTGCAGCGAGCAGCACTAGCTCCTCCATTGCCGAGAACGCAGAAGACTGAAGGAAAGTTTGAGCGTGTGGACGCTCTTCAGTCGTCCGTCTTATCGGTCAAACTTTGGCATGATATGCAAGACTGACGATAAGTTTGAACGTGTGGACGGGGCTTGTCTCAAGCCGGGTAGTTGATAACCTCCAATCCTCAATAGGGAGTATAAAGGGGATTGTTTTTGTACCCCTGCCTCTGAAACGTTGGTGTTTCGGTAAACACACGCAATACAAGCATCTTGACGTACAAGCAATGCACGCGTGTTCATGTAAACATATCGCAAAGGAGTTCGCACAAGCGTAACGCAGGCGTGTTCACGGAAACGTATCGCAAGCGTTATGACATGAACGCACGGCATGCGGGTCGAAGACAACGCAATGCACGCGTAATGGTCGCGTGTCGATGGACAATTGCATAATGAAGCTCGCGCAAACGCTGGCGCGACCCTGAAATTTCGTTCCAAAATTTTGACCCAAATGTGTCGAAGCGGTTTGCGTTAGCAAAAAAAAAAACATTCAAATCAAGAAAACGTAACGCCATCACGTTGTCGTACATTCAATGCATGAGCGTTGAAACGCACGCATATAGAAATTCGTGCACCTATACTCTTACATCGTGTGGGTTTCTAAATCTGGGGCTGGTCACCCTCGCGCTAACTCGTGTCAGCTACTGTGCAGGGTGAGCGTGGCACAGTCTGTTCAGCCTTTTATTTCGGCTGTCTTATGCAGATTCGGCTCCTAGGGCATGTGACTCCCGAAAATGGCTCCCAATTAGTAGCCGAATATGTTAGGCAGCTGATTGGCGTCTGACTTGCCTCTAAGGTGGCTATGGCGAGCCTTCGCGATCGGTATCTGGATTTCGACTGGGTAGTACCTCAACGCCCTACTCATTGGGCTCATCCACACTCATCCTTTAGTCCCTCAACGCCCTATTCATTGGGCTCATCCGTTAGTACCTCAATGCCCTACTCATCGGGCTCATCCACACTCGGCCGTTAGTACCTCAACGTTTTACTTATAGGGCTCATCCACACTCATCCGTTAGTACCTCAACGCCTCATCGGCTCATTCACACTGCAACAGAATCATTCACAGTCGAATACATCGGAACTTACATATATGAATGTATATCAAAGTGTCACAGATAAACAAAGGAAAATCTAAACTTTAACCCGTCATCCATCCCGGCCTGCAATTGAAACGCAACATAGGATATTTCTTAGTGCAAACATGTATTTATATTCAGGGGGCTTAAAAAAATTTACACCCATATCAAAACAATAATTGTATCGCTCACAATACAGAAGCCACTACAGCACAACGCATACTTTACGACGCACAACACCCATTTTCAACAACACCCCACATACACACATGCAATGGGAAAAATTTTAATACACTGGCAAATGCTGGTCAATTCAAAAAACAAAACGAACATTCATACAACTCCAAAACACTATACTGGTTTGAAACAATATACTTAATAAATCCCTGAACTATTCATAATAAAATCCCTGATAAATCCGTGAACTATATTCCTTGATCCTAGGACATTAGCACAGGACATCCGCTGTACATTGCCCATGTATAAATCAAACGAAGCCCGGCAAGCAACAAACAAAACAAGAACTAGAATCGCACATGGATACAAACAATACGCAGAAATTATCAAACTAGAAACAAAGAGAACTGCCTTTCGCGAACATATCCAATGCAAATTGAGATGTTAGCGTCTGCATATGCCTCGAACTGCGAGAATACCCGAAGTTTACATTGCCAGCCTAAAGCCAGAAAATGTTTCGGCTCCAGTACTTGGATCCGGAGCAGGAAATAATTAACGTTCGATCTGAATATTAACTATAAAACGAACAAAAAAATCAATCAATATCTCGTAACTGAAATATTTTTAATGAGTGCCCGCCTCTCAATCTGTTCATTTACGATTGACAGGGAGGTGCGTTACTCAGCTCTCATATCGTCCACAAATGTCAACCATGAGTTCCTCAAAATCGTCCAGAACATCAAAAAGTTCCCAATGGGCGAGGACTTGTGTGGGTAAGTGATATGCACTTGATAGATTGTCTTCACAGTGTGGTGAATGATCTTATGGATAATTTCAAGAGAAAATTTGTTATAGAATACTGATCTTCGACAAAACATTTAAACAGATCTAGCAACAGATTTCAGCAGAATGTTAAACGATAGTCAGCTATTTCCACTAACATATGTGCTTCAAGCAAAATTGATAAAAAAAGAGATTGAAAACTAATTATCTAAACATATTAACCATATTTTACATCATATTGATGCATATAATTGGAAATCAATACAGATGCTTAGATACATGTACGACTATTCTTTTTGCACAGGGATTTAAATTCGACGGTTCGCCTTCAGATCTACCTTGCCTCTTCTTCCTACGAAGAAATTGACGAGTCTCCCGCGTATACTGTGCGTGGAACCTGATCCTATAAAATTTGCAAGGCACATTTATTACGGAATGTTCATGTATTTTTTTAATAAATTAATGTCTAACATGCATGTTTTTCAATTTTCACATATTTTTGAAGTTATTTACCTCGTAAAACTGCTATTTGAGCAAATAAACAGCATTGTCTGTGCCCAATTTATCTTGAACAACCACGACCGTACAATGAATGTGTAACTTTGGTAATCCTATCAATAATATTTTGACAGCTGTGAATTTATAGTTTGTAGCAAGTGGTTGAATCATGACGTACAGTAGTTAACAAGTAACAACATAGGTATAAAATCATCCGATTTCTAACAATTGGCGCTCTGACTCATGCTTAAATCATTTGTGTTGACAGTGGACAACTTTGATCTCAAATTTGGGCGGCAACTTGGGCTTCATAGGCGTGTCGCTGATCACCTTCTTCGACGTGGTCTACTACTTATTCGACGTGTTCCTGATCCTGGTGTGGCCGCGCTGCTACGACGTCTCGGAGGGCGTCACCAAGTCCGTCGCTCCCGTCAAGAAAATTCCGAAGAAAATCATCATCTTGGCCGGTCCTCCGTAGCAGCTGCCACACGGTAGGAATAGAGGCACTGCCACCGAGACAACATTTCTCAATTCAATGGGCGGCTTTTACAATTTTTCATACGAATTCACAATGACCTGTTTTCGCTGGTGGCTGAAATCATACTTATTCAGAATATTAGTGGTATTGACCAAATTTCAAATTTAGTGTTGTCAATGGCACAGATGTGGAGGCTAAACGGGAGAAAAATAAGTCCACGGGGGTTTTCTCCCGTTTATTTCATATGGGTGACGTAAGCTGAAAATAAGATTTAATATTAGTTAATAGGTCGAGAGAGACATGAATGAAACTTACACTAGGCAGGGGCTGGACTCTCATTGTTTAGACTTAAGCAATAAACGTTGTAGATGAGCATTCTTAATTGATTACTCGATAACAAGATTGCAACTGGAATGACAGGAATTATTTATGTCAGCATGGTTGCGGTGTTTGTTACTTACAAGAGGGGTTTTGGCAGGTAAGAAGAAGATTATTACTGGCGTTTTCTTGTTTATGCTAGCGTTTGCCAACGCTGTGTGGGCTTTGAAATTGATTACTAAGTATTACAGTGCCAATACTGGGTTGGGCTTTGATTATGATTAGGGTCATCGGCAGCGGATGGGCTTGGACTACGATTACGATACCTGAAATCGTGAGGTTGGAGGTAAAGTTTAAATGACAATATCTTAAAGTTACCTAAAATACTTTAAATCAAACGAGACGTAATGAAACACAAGTCGGCAGTGAGGCTGTGTAGACGAGGCGGAGAACAAAGTAGTCTCCCGCAAAAATTTTCTTTATGACTGAATCGAAGAAAACGGAACGGCGTCTCTCCTACTTTGCTAAAATATCAAATCGGTACGTCTAGCTATGCAGCAAATAATTCTTTCAAAATAATTGTCCCTATACGAATCCATACCAAGAAATAGCTATCAACTATGATGTAGGAGCCCATGACCAAATGTTCCTAGTAATGGCTGCCAACAATATCTAGGCGCAGCGTTACTCACAATGACGACTTTAATATTCACTCAATAACATGAATTTGGAATCACGAATTCAGAAATCATGCACAATAAAGACGATAGAGGAATACATAGATACAAAAAGCTTAGTAAGCTAAACTGCTAAAGCAACATATTATAAGGTAACACCGGGAGGGCTCGAGGAGCAACACACTATATTCGCTCGAGCTCTGGACGCGCACTATAGTGCGGCGGTGACGCCGCCACGCTGGCTGGGAGCGCGGGAACCGCTTGAGGGCTCGCTGCGTTCATTGAATGATGATTTCGTTGCATTATCCTTTGAAAGAATAGAGAATCTCTTCTTGAGTCTTCTTAGGTCTTTTTAGGACTTTTTAGGTCTTCTTTCTTGCATCTCTTCTCAGCAATCGGTCTTCATGATGCTCGCCAACATGGAAGAAGGCATTCGAATTTTCTTCCCATTAGGTTACAACATATGACAATTTTCAATCTTTGCGATATTTTGCACGCACTTGTTGAGTGCACGCCGGGATGAGTGAAAATTTTGAGTGAATGAAAGGATGAGATGAGGGATGCCGGGATGAGTGAAAGGAAAAGTTAGTGCGTTGAATCTGATGAGTGACAAAACAACGTCACAGTCAACATGATTGAATCAGTCACTTGACGAGTCGGGATGTTTTGCTCACCATGCTCCAATACGCGGAAAAATCACTACCCATGACAGTGGAGCCTTTTGTTGAGTTTTTTTTTTTTTGCGTTCTCAATTTAATTGACAAAAGAAAATAACTCAATGATTGTGCGTAACTCAATCGGAAACAGACAGTTGGAACGACGCTGGAGGATTCTTTATAATTTAATTTTTCAACGTAATTTAGCTGCTCTCTTTTTATTCGTCTTTATGAGAGATCTATTCGCAAGAAAATCAAATTATACATCAGTTATTAATATTATTGTTTCTCACAGGAGAACTTGTCAAGAAGCGCCCATTAAGGTCAAGTGCCCGATGGTCTGAACGCTCCAACCAAGTCTTCATGAGCCACTGAAAATGAGTCAAGTTTCCAATGCGTTACAAGAGCTTACAAGAGTATACTTGTAATGATCTTTCGTGCCGAGGTTAAATAACGATCTCGAGTTAACACAATTATTTTTATATTAATGAATAGTGAACATTTAAATTAGGAACATTGAACAAGTTAACGTGAACATATGGGCATCGTTATAGGGTATAGAACTATCTTCTTTCATAAGCTAGGGCACAGCACTGTAGATTTTCCTCATAACACAGTAACAGACTATACAAGCACAACACTGAATCTTCGTGATAGCTTCTTGTGATCTTCTATCCGGGTTGACTTCTCCCTACATGAACAAAATCAAATTTACAATTAGTCGGGTGTTTCCCTACTAGATATCTCACGTAGTATCAACACACCAAATAAATACAATATTGATAAATATCGACAGTTACGCATACCTCTGCAGTTGTCTGAATTCACTAAACTAGTCCTTGCTTTGGTCCCACAACAAGTCAGCTCTGAATTCTTACACTGCTACGGGATCGTCAACACCTTACCTTATTCTACGTCCCACATATTAGTTACTTTTTTCCTTATTTTCCCTCTGTTTTCAACAGTACGCCTGAATATTCAGATAAGATCCCTACAATACTCATGGCGTATACAAGGTCCCAGAAGGATTACTAGAATTTGAAACAAGAACCAACACCAGGGGCCACGGCTATAAACTAAAAAAACTGCGCTGTAACACATTCATGCGACAGCATTTTTTTCTCGCTTCGAGTCACCGACATGTGGAACAGACTCCCTGATAGCATCGTTGACGCTCCTAGTATGAAGCCTTCAAAAACAGACTAGACGAAGCTATGCAGGAGCATATGTTCAGTCTTAAAATGCCTAGCACCTTACGGACCAGGCAATAAGTCCAGCAGCTATCTCAATCAATCGTCAGTTATTGAAAGATCGGGTTCCAAAGGCCTGATCGCTTGTGAATCAAGTCACGAAAAGTTCAAGAATCGGCATCCGGCCATGGGCCTATTTCTTCAATGCCGACACTTCTATTCTATTCTAGGTCTCATAAAAAAATTAGATCAGTACTCACTGCAGTGAGTGACAGAGAGCGCACTTTCTCGTCCGTCCATCCGTGAAGTCACGGACGGACGGGCGGATATGACGAGCACAATATCGCCTTTTTTCCATAAATGAGAAAATGCGCTAAAAATTGTTGCCGTATCGATTTAACCTATTTAGTTTGCATAATTAAATAAATTAGCTCGGTTGAGCATGTAATTTCGCTCAACCGAAATTACATTTCGGTTGAGCATACAGCGAAGGTGTTCTTTTTAGCGCATTTTCTCATTTATGGAAAAAATGCACTATTGTGCTCGCCATGTCCGTCCGTGTGACTCCGTCTAGCTGTCCGTCTGTCTGTCTGCCCGTGACTTCACGTTTTTCGTCGACAAGAAAATGCGCTCTCAGTCACTCACTGCAGTGAGTACTGAGTTATATTTTTTGGTAATTCGGCCGCTCACGATGTCATTAATTGATCCGTAAGCTGCTATGTCATGGAGTTTTGAGCCTCCACTTCATCGTTGCCGCTCACATTGGAATAATTGCTGCCCTCGGACCTCCGCCAACTCTATACCGAGGTTTCAGCTCGGCAGATTTTGCGATTCACGCGTAAACTGTCACAACAAATTAATATTTTTATATTTGACTTTTGGAATGTCCATGATTTAGATCGCGGCGTACGTTAGATGAAACACCTATACAAAATCATGTGTTGAAAGAAGGTCTACAAAAATCATTGCACACGGGGTTATCCCTTGTGAATCAAGTCACGAAAAGTTCAAGAATCGGCAACAGGCCATGGGCCTATTTCTTCAATGACGACACTTGTATTCTATTTTATTCTATTCTATCGTGTGCTGCCTTAACCGAGGCCGTTAGCTTTGAACAAAAAATTAATTGACTCAAACTGCTTCGATGCAACAACTCACATGAATCCGACTAACGCTATTTATAGATGATTTGTGCAAATTTAAGTATTGATTTTATCTTACTACGAGTGATTTCATTTTGATCTGACTGAAGCCAGTTAGAACAACATTTTTATCTAGACGTGATATTTTGTCTTGGCAGTTGAAGCACTCTATCTACGAAGTATCATTTTCCATTTACTATGTAAGACATAAGTGAATTATTTGCTTCCTTGAATGTTAATATTTTATTCAGAAAACACCTGTAAATGCTGGTCACAGATCGGTATTATAATTTTCTTTTCGTATATTTTTATTTTTTGTTAATTTGTACTTCACATTTAAATAACGGTAAATTATATCATTTTATGAAATGTTGACATTTATCCTCTGCATGTATTGTAAAAGTTATCTATGTTGATAATTTCAAATAGCATCCACGATTGTTCTCGTATTACAACATGTTCAATACATTGAATTTAATTCCTTATCTTTTACTCCTTTCTAATTTTCATGGAAGCGGCTATTGTACTGATGGTACAGTAGACAGAACATGAGCTATGAGAGGTCGATATGAAAAGTTCGCTTTTTAAAATATCCCGAAGTAATAACTATTGTGGATACACGCTCGAACAGCCTCGATATATATGCGGTGCCAGGCTTCAAACTCACACGCTACCTCAAGTTACACAAACAAACCTTGACAGGTAAATACAAGGTAATTAAATAAAGAATTGTGTAATCTTTAATTATACAGTTCTTGGTAGCTTGTGAAAATATGTGAAATTACATATAAAATTATGTAAAATTACAAGATTATGAATACGAGTTTCAATACAGTTGAAGTTTATGTAAAGGTTTGTATTATAACCTCCACAGTCCACATGTGTGTTTTTATGAATATTAAATGAAATAAATTTTATGAAATTAAATGAATAACAGATCAGCAAATTGTGAACAACAAAATGGTACGGAGGAGAACATGAATATTCTCGAATGCATTGTAGCTCCTGTGCGTGTTTCTCTTATCTATGGTAGTTGCTGCATGTACAAGATACGAGGATTTATACGTATTGGTTTAATAAAACTGCATATTAAATCTACGAGAGCTATTAACTGCTACCAATAGCTACATCACGAAACCGGTCATGAACATTCGATCGCCCCCTGCAGTTCTAATCGTGCCGCTGTCTGTCGAGGTTCTTCAACCCCGGAGGTGAGTTCAGGTATGTGCAGTTACTGCCCTTCAACTAAACTGCCTTCCTGATACGATAATATGATCGACTATAATATTTGCGTGGTATATAATAATTATAATAATAATATAATTTGTATAAAATTTAGAAACTTAATTACGAGAGAATTACTGTACTTTTATGATTTAGATTTGTGCCAGAATTATATTTTACGAAGAATATATGCAAGGTACTCGTTCATTTTGATGTCAATAAAACATAGTATTGTAACAAGATAACAAAACCTCTTAAATAATATTCTGTCTAGACTGCAATCTTATTATAAAACTACTCTGAATTTTCTGAATCAAGGTTATTTAGACCACGGACGTTCTCTGACTGATCGACGTCTTTTTTTATGCACTCAGGACAGAGCGCTAAGTATTTATTCCTCGATAAAAAGCATCAATCAAATTTTTCATCGCCCAGGACCACAAAGACACAAATTCACGATGAGTTCGCCAGGGTCGCCGACCATGGAGGCCGAAGTTCACTTCGTGCGGAGCTCAAAAAATAAGAAATGGGCCATGTATCATGGATACCTGGGGTGAGTGCAGTCACTTTTCTTCCACACACATGGAAATTTAAAGAAAATTCACGCTGCATTTTTTTATTTCGATCATGATGAAGCACAGCAAAAACCCTTCATCTGGGGATTGACAGAATAAGCTTAATTTCTGATCGTAAATAATGCATCCTATTGATTTTCAGCCTTGTCATGTTAAAAAATTCCACATTGATGGCTGTAAACTCAATTAAATCCTGTCATTGATAAAGAGTCGAGTAAGTGCGTCGTGCCATTGTTCTACGTGTCAATCAGTTATGTCTTTGATGCGTGCTGCTTAAACAAACTACAGGAGTAACATAGGAGATCAAAGTGTATCAGTATTCTTCAATCTGTTCTTGAATTTAACTGAAATCGATTGATAATGAAAGCGTTAATTATCTTTTTTAAATTTGACATTTTTGATTCGCATTGAAATGACGATGTTTAGACTTGAAAGGCCAAAGTCGGGAAGAAATTGTAATTGTGAGGTATAATAACCAAACACTTTTCAAATTATGGTTTTCTTATTCTCTGAATTTTCAGGAGGGAAGGCGTGTAGGTATAAATCTATTCTCTTAACTGGTATTTAAATCGATTGCCATGAATCAAGCGAGTTGAATAACGAATAATAACGTTGATTGATTACTTACACACACGAAAATATAAAGAAATTTGTGCAGTTTTTAGCCTGGTTGTTCTGAACGACCGAACAACATAAAACATCCTTATTCTATTGACTTTTCCATTAGTATGTTAATGATAACTTGTATCTGGAAGGTGATGTACAGTGTCATTACTTACTCAAGGGTCAAGATTAAGGGCATAAATAATAACTAAATGAATCAGCAACACAAAATTAACTGATAAAGAGCTGCAAGGATATTTTAAGAACTGTCTTGATACAAAGAACCAAATGAGTACTAAGAACTACATTGGTACAAATAACTAAACGGGTAATGAGAAATACATGTGTATTAAAAACCACACGAGTGAGAAGAACTACATGGGTACCAATAATTGCTTGGGCACTGTTAGCTACCTGCATGGGTACTAAGAACTACATGGGTTCTAAGAACTGCATGAAAAATAAGAACTGCATGGATACTGAGAACTACAGGGGTCCTTAATTGAAATTACCAAATTTTAATGCCACTTATGCCTTGCATGACACTAAAAACTATGTGGTACTAATTAAGAACTGCTTAAGCGCTAAGAACTATTTGGGTCTAAGAACTACATGGTTAAGAATGAGCACCCATAGTCAGACGGTACGTGCTTTGAAATATTAAGTTATAATAAGAGTTTGCTGTGCTGATTTATAACGTTGCTTCAAATTTAGATTTATTACTCTCATTATGAGAGGCAAGAGGGCAGAATAGAGAATAATGGACACGAGATATTTTCCATGACACGAAATTAATCTCAAATGTATAGGCTTTCAAACATGTCATTTTGATGATCGTTATTCTGCATGCTCTGAAACTTAATCGAGTTATATCGCGAGATGTATTTTTTCTGAAGACTTGTTGACATGGAAGGGGAACCATGAAAAATATTATTCATCCATGCCATACCCACGTGGAATGGATTTTTGTTGTTCGTAACTTAGAATTAATAGAATTAACTACCTAAGAAATTAGAAAAAAGAACTGGTAGCATTCTATCATCGAGGAGTGCTGATTTCTTTGTTTAATTGATAGGAAAAAAGGCAATCCAGTCAGTCATACGCAATTCAAGCCTGGAATTTACTATGTTAGCTATAGAATTCCCGAAAAGTTATCATGTATCTATTGACTCATTGTATTTGATTGCAGTTTAATTGTCTGGATGGTCGATTTCCAGTGAAAAGATTCCATTCATATTTAATGAGTAATTATTATTTTTAAGTGAAAAAATATCGGAAAAGGCGAAAATATCGGACACATTTGCTCTATACATACGAATAAATTCGCACATTTGTTATAAAATGATTTTAGAAATAATTTGCGGCTTCAGTTTATAATAAAAAAAATTCTTTTTTTATTGACATTTAGCATCAATTTCATTTGATATCTAGTACTTAACGAAACATGTCTCAATCAGTAGATCTGTCAATGCAAGTTATAAATCTTTTGAAGAACGCAGCATTGATGCAGTGAAGAGAAAAGTCTTTAATTGGCTTCCTGATATATATATACCTCACTGTGCAATGATTAATTTGAACTAGATTATTGCTAAGATATCAAACTAAGCTGCTTTATCTAAAACAAATTCAACGTCCTTGGCGGTGTAGAAGCAATTTTGCCGATACGTTTAGGCGTTTCTTTAGGAAAATAAATGAAATTGGGGCTGGAATATGTTAATAGGCTAGATCAAAGCTCCAGCAATACGAGGAGATATAAGTAAAGACTTGGCGATATATGTTCCTCATGGCTAGAAACGGTTGATAGTTAACGAGGGAATATTGTTTTCTAGAAATAAACAGAAGTCGCGTTAAGCATGCATGTGCCTGAATATTTTGCATTGGCTGAGGTTAATCTGACTATTCTACAAAACCAAACGGACTATATGAGCATAGATACAGGAGCATTCTAGTTCTATTGACCCTTTCAAACACGATGTGAGTCAGAGATTCAGGAAAGTTAAGTCAGCCTAGGTTTCCTATCCACTTTATTTCAATAGTTGGAACTAAGTTCACGCAATGATAAAGCAATTTAAAATGAATGAATTATTTGTGTTTTTGTCAGCAAAATTTTGATTTGTGTTTAAGGCGCTTATCTATTCGTACAGGATGCGCCACAGAAACTTACTTATTTGAAAGGTCAATAAAAACAAAAGTACTTCAGTTATTGTTTTAAATTTTTTTTATTCGAGAAAACAGTATCCCAAATTTTTTTTCATACAGTTTTGAAAATTAAATCTCATGAATGACGGCCTCCATTGTGCATAAAAATATTCATATTAATATTAAATGTACAAAAATTTCCGCGGGTCACGGCAGCAATCATAATTGTCTTGCGAGCCCGGATGTCGAAGGTTTTGAAGCTATAAAACAAAGTCGCGTGCAGTATACGGAAAATATGATCAGGTAATATTTTCAATAATTTAATCGATGAATTCCTTCATATATAGCTCGAAGCAACCGATCCGCCGTGTGAAGGATAAATATATTGACAAATTTAAAGGAAGGTGACCAAAAATTGTGAGGTGATCGTGAGTTCCAGCCTTTCTTATTTTATTTGCAGACTCGCCTGAAAACCTGCAAAGCCTTCTGGTTCAAGACGCGCTTCATGCGTGTTCCGAGAATCGTGTGTTTGAAATCACACTCCACACTTTGTCCGCAAAATTACAATCTATTGGGGTTCTGCATTAAACGGCAATTTTAATATAAAATTTTATGTATTAATGTTATTAAAACTTAACAGAAGAATTATTGTAATTAAAACTTGAAGAACAATCAAGATCGTTTGATAATTTTAAGAGCGGTAAATTAATTGGAGTAATCAATTCTTTCTGTGGCAATAATTTTCTGATGCAAGGTTTTGAAGAAGTAAAAACTGTCTATTAATGATAACAATTAAGGCACTGGGATTTAATGTTGCCCTGGGATACAGTTGGCTATAGGCTGCAGAGTGACAATAAAGGTTGCTGCTATATATATATACGGGTCTCTTATAACTCTGGGTCTCGGGTAACCTGGGTTGCGGGTAGAAATGGGTCTCTAATCAATAACTCTGGGTCTCTGGTAACACTTGGTCGCGTATAGAAATGGGCTGTTGTGTACCAGTGGGTCGTGAATGGAACTGGGATTCAAGTAACACTGGGTCTTAGGTAACGCTGGGTCGTGCATGGGTAGCATTGAATCTCAGGTAGCTAATAATACCTGTAAGCATTATCGAATTATCATTTCAATAATACTTACAGGTATTATTGAGACATCATTTTCTGAAAGCCATTATGAGAAATTCGGCCATAATCCCTCTCGATCAGCAACGAAGATTCGTGGGAACAACCGCCGCCGGACTTCGACGCACTGGTCGAGCCAGAGAACCGCTGGACGCGTGTGAAGACCCGCACCAAAGAGTTCCTGGAAACTGTCACTTTGGATGGCATCGTGCAGACATGCGGGTGACTGGAAGCATTTTAGTGTATTATATGAATTTTATACAAAGACTACAGATTGACTGAAAGTTTTCGACCAAGGTCATTCGACCCATAAATGCCATGAATGTGCGACGAGTGTAACAGTAGGTACGTTGTTTCAGCGCCCGAAATTGGTTGCGTCGGCTGGTGTGGTTGACGTTCTTCATTATGTGCTCGGTGTACAGCCTCATGCAGTGCTACGACGTCTATAATGAGTACAGCAAGTACCCGAAAGCTGTGGCGGTTCAGGTGGGACGTTAAGAATATCTATACCTCAGGAACGCTTGGCAAATCTGTTGCATGCCGTGGCCCATTGCTACGCTGATCATGCCTGGGCTTCGAGTGTGTTAATAACAGGCAGCTATCAATCTACAATAAAGCACTTCCTCTGGAATTACTAATGAGAAAAAGTTGCAGGAGTAATTTTAAGAGTGGCTGAGTCAAATTCAGGTGGAGCTTGTTATATATTGGTGCTTAAAAGCTGTACTTCGAATTCGGCCGAAGCGAAGATAGAGCGGCTAATTTGCGTGCTCCCCAAGTCATGGTCAGCACCTGTGGCAGAGTCTGGTTCAAATCAAATTGTTAGGGGGCTGCGGGATGCCAGAATTGCCTACTGCTTGCCAAAATAAGCTTTATGATCTCAGCTTCAAACGGAGCGCCCGGCCCAGTTTCCAGCGGTGACTCTATGCAGCCTGAACCCCATCAACAACGAAGAGGCGCTCAGGAACGACTCCGTCTACGGCGCCTTCATCGAAGTCCAGGAACAGAACACTGTGGCTGGTGAACAATTTTGAAATTATTATTGATTATGATCAACCAATTATTCTCAAGAAACTAAAAAATCGATTTCATCCATATGAGAGTTAACATATAGATTATAGAAGAACACCTCTTACTTTCCTACACAATAATAATAATAACTACCTTAAGCCTATTTGCTTACTTCAGCCCCACCAATATATTATTTTATAATACTATAAGATTTGAATAAGGTTTATCAGCATTTATTGTAACTGTAACTTAAGTGGCTCTAAGTTGGTTAACTCTGAAAATAACACCCATGCAATACCCAATTCGAATATTTTGATGGAACGTCTGATGTGACTTTATCATCAAGCATTATCAAAGCAAGAAATGATCTGAATTTACCTCAATAGAAGTCAACTTCGTTATTTTCTGCGAATCTCTGTTAATTCATAATTTTTACTCACCTCTATCAAGTAAAAAAATCACTTACGGTACCAATTCTTGCTGATTTATATGCACTTTATTTTGAGTTATTTAAACCTGCAATTAGTTAAGAAGTTAATTGATTTATTTTCACCCTGAATTTGCTTTCAGAGTGTACCGGCCTTAAAAATGTCAGCGATGATCCACTGGCAGATGGTGAGAATGTTGATGTGGGAATGTTAACTCTTCATATAAGGGTAAATTTAATTGAAATTTTCGCGACGATTTTTTCATAATACCAAAATAAAATGTGTAAATTTTCTATTTTCATTGACCTACAGCCTACACATGCGTTTATATATGTTTGTGCGCGTGTTGATTGATACAAGGATCAGAAAGCTATTACTGTAAACAATGCCTTCATATGTTAAATTAACTGTATTTTCCGAATTGATTTACAGAAATATGCGAAGACTATTGCGACTTTGTGACAGTTAACGATTATGACGACATGAGCAACGGTACCCACAATGACAGCTCCACCACCTCGTTCTCGACTGGCACAGCGCAAGCATCCACAACAACATCAACGCCTCTCCTTTCGCAGACTCAGAGTTTAACTGCCGAGCTCGCAGGTAAAGTCAGATATCTTGCTGATTTAACAACTATTATTATTTATGCCTATTATAATTCTTCTTACTTAATCGAGTCATAATTAATCTTCAGACGAGTCTACGCTCATGCACATAGACGATGCGTTGATGCGGTTGAAGTGCAGCTTCATCTACCAGTATCAAATGAGGCACGAGTCCTTGCACATCTCCATATTTGCCACTGATAATGGCCCTGAAAGTTACGTCACCAGCGAACTGGTCAAAGAGGTTGGGGATCTACGATTTTGTCCGCAAATTGGTGAGTTGTTTCTTAACGGTCTTTGCATTTCATAATTCTCTTTGATATGTCCAATGAAGATTGGAGCCGAAGGCATTGAGGCCCCGTGATGAACTTGAAAAATTGGTTTGCGGGGTCAAGTTCATTGGCCATTATATATTCTGTCCATTTGCTGGTGTTGATTACTTTGTTCGAGATTTTGAAGTACATATGCTCTCTCTCAAAATTAGAACGACTTTATATCACTTGTGTTTCAGTCGCATCCATTTTACTGAAGATCAAATGAAAGTATCATGGAAAAATGTGTGCATACCTGCATGTTGCTAGGCCTTCGAAATATCCTGCGATGCTTTGGAATTACCTTGCAATTTTTTCTCTCTAATATGAACCTAACGCCGGACTCTCTCTTCCCATTGCATTTATTAGAGCAGTGGAATGCAAAGGCTGTCACCATTCGTTACAACCGAGCCTGTAAAAAAGAAGTTTATGAAGACGCTCTAGGAAACTACACTGGCATCAATACAGGTTGGTAGCCTGGTTGAATTCCACTTGGTTAGACTAGATATTGACTATATTCGATTTTCGTGTCCATTTTTCAAGAGAAATTTTGTAGAATTTCCAGAGAAATTTTTTTGCAAGAAATTATGCTTTCAATAATTATTAGTTGTAGCCCAAATTTATTTCTTTTTACGACGCTTCTCTTAAGCTTCACTTCTTGTTGTTTTTCTTGTTTGTTTGTCTGTCACAAATCTTTTAATCGATATTCAACACACTTCTACCTTCTATTCAATCGATCTGAAATTTTGCACACTTGCGTAAAGTCAGAGACTGTGCTTGAATCAAGGCTAAATAGAAGAGGCAGCCATTTCGCATCTGATTCATCTTTAATTCGAGAGGTGCAACCGAAACCGGAACGATATAGCCGCGCGTAAATTTTGACAGGGTCGTAGTTTATTGTCGGAACCACAGTTTATTGCTATGACATTTTTGAAAATAGTCATATCAATTTTTTTTATATGACATTTTTTTCGTAGTCCTTTAAGCAGAATAAGACTTGTTTCTGACTCGTGATTTGCAATGATGCGCAGTTTTCAAGGAGACCCGCATCAACCAGACTGAGCGAGTGGAGTTTTCCTGTGATCCCGGATGGTTGTACTCTTCTCAGGGTGAGTGAAATGCATTCGTTCTTTTCAAACTCAAATGAATTTGAAAACACATTGCGGTATTCCCTGAAAAACAGCATCGAAAAAATAATGTTGAAGATTTTGCCAAATTCATGTGGCTTTTGAATTCTGTGTATAAATGTGTATCTGGCCTTTCATAAATTTCAGATATATGGCTGGAATTGGAAAAAAATGAGATGACTGAGAAGCGACTAAATTCCCTCGTAAGCCGTAGCCGCACGAACGACTTGTCGGACCTCAGGGGGCGCTTCGCCCCCGACCGTGACGTGGCCGAGAAGACGGCGAGGAAGCGAGAAGACTTCATCCAAGTGTGCAGCATCGACAACGTCCATTGCAATTACAAGTAATTTTGCTATCATTAATAATGTTATTGCAAGTAATGTTGCATTTACAAGTAATGTTGCAATTACAAGTAATTTTGGGGTTTATATGTATTGTTGCAATTACAAGTTTGCCACTACGTGTATTGCTATGTTGCATTTTTTACAAATAGTGTGCGATTACAAGCACTGTTGCAGTAACAAGTACTGTTGCAATTACAGGTACTGCTGCAATTATTAGTAACGTTGCAATTGCAAGTAATGTTACAATTACAAGTAATGTTGCAATTACATGTTGTGAAGAATTTCTAACGAGAATCTTCTTTGGGTGGAATAATTTGACACGCGTTGAGTTACTTGCCTACGGTTTCTGGCGAAGTTAAAACATTTATTAAAACTAAACACTTTATGACGAAATATAAAACATAAATATATACACAATAATTGCTCAAACATAAAGGCCCGTTTCCACTACGGGACTGATTCTGAAGGATTGAGATTGGCCTGAGACCAATAAGCCACATGGCTGGACTTGAAAACTGGCGTGCGCGTTTCCACTACGTGCGTGTGCTGGGTGCTGGGATTGAGACTGACCGTCCGAGCTACCGCACTGGCGCACTCGCTGGCCTTTGAAGATAGATTAATGCTGCCGCTCTTGCTTTTACTAGCTGTTGTCACTATGCGCAGGAGGAAACAAAGATCTCTTTACCTAATAGCAGTTATGAAACGCAAGAATGGTTTCAAACTCCTCATTAACATAGTTTATCCGTGTAATAACATGCATTCACCAAGGGAATAAGAAAAAGCATTATCTTATTATACCTTTAATGTGTCGAGAAAATTAAATGTAATAAATACGTCACAATGTTTAACCATGTCTGGTTTTTGGTCTATAGATTTAGATAGGTATCATAGCATGCTTCACAAATGCTACTACTATTATTGGTTAATGTGTTTATTAACTATTTACTGTGTATACATACACTATAAGTACAATGAGATAATTAAGATTTTTTACTTGACGGACGAGTGAATCTATGTCAATAAACAGATAAAATCGGTCAATGAGAAGTTAGGAAGTACTATTTCCATTTTTCGATGTTCGTGGATGGATATAATTTCTCCAATTCTTTACTTATTTTCTCTAATTCTCAAGATTCTGTCTCTGTAAAAAAAGCTTTTTACTTGCCAGAAGCAAAGTGCCTCTCTATATAAATCGATAAGCCTTTCAGTGACATCTCTGCTCCAGTCTCCGTCGTGCGACATGGTCAGTTAAGCAAATGGCAGGCAATGGTGCGTCTATTGGAGCGCCCGCACAGCCCACAACCTTCTTGAACGAAAGTCACAGCGACACTGCCGATTGCCCGTCACGCAAGTCCAGTAAAAGATTGAACAGCGCTTGACTCCCCGTGACTCAAGTCTTGATGGTCCGGACTGCCTCAGACCGGACTGAAAAAGCCAGTTTTTCAATCGTCAGTCTCGCAAAGTCTCATAGTGGAAACGGGCCTTAAGTCACGTAAATAGCCTCGGTTATAGTGGCTAGACTTACCAAATTATTGAGCGAAAGTTTGGTTTATCTTACCAATAAAAGCTTTCATCGTACAATGACGGCCTATGCTAACCGCAACGCCCCAGTAAGTTACGCGTGCTGGAGAATAGGACGAATCTAAAATTGTACATCAAGCGCACATGAGAAAACCCTGCAACTATGTACTTTTGAAATTACAGGTACTGTTGCAATTACAAGTACTATTGCAATTACAGGTACTGTTGCAATTACAAGTACTATTGCAATTACAGGTACTGTTGCAATTACAGGTACTGTTGCAATTACAGGTACTGTTGCAATTACAAGTACTGATGCAATTACAGGTACTGTTGCAATTACAGGTACTGTTGCAATTACAAGTATTGTTGCAATTACAGGTACTGTTGCAATTACAAATACTGTTGCTATTACAGGTACTGGTGCAATTACGAGTAATGTTGCAATTACAAGTAATGTTGCAATTACAAGTAATGTTGCAATTACAAGTAATGTTGCAATTACATGTATTGTTGCAATTATTAGTAAAGTTGTTGTTACAAGTAATGTTACAATTACAAGCAGTGTTGTAATTACATGAATTGTTGCAATTACAAGTAATGTTGCAATTACAAGTAATGTTGCAAATACCTGTAATGTTGAAATTACGTAAGTAATGCTGCAATTACAAGTATATAGTGCCTTCTGAAAGCCAACTCTTACCTTGTTCGTTTCCTTCTTAAGATCTATTCACTACACCTTTTTGCTGCTGAAAGGGAGGGTCTACCTCAAAAATTGAACAGAATAATTTTTCGTTTTCTGATCTCACTTTGTACCTATAAAGTGGCACCTCTAACGCAACGAACTGCATGTATGTGTACACTTTAGTTTTTGCGTCGGGCAGTTTCTAACTTCGGAAAAAAACACATTTTTTACAATATGTAAACAGATTTCAGAAAAAAATTAATTTATAGATTATTATTAGCGTTAAACTTCACAGAAATAAGTCCTACAGCGCATGTTGCATGGTACCCTCATTGCGAGTAATCGTCTATGATGAAGTAGGAGATACAGTACCAAACTTTTTTTTTCCTTTTACCTTTTTTGAACCTGTTTTACTTTTTTGCCTCTCCTGGACAATTGAAAGTCCTATTTTACGACTTATTAAGTTAAAAATCTATTTCCTTTTCTGATTTATGAGCTACAAAATCGAGAGACATATCATTCGATTTGTAAAGCGAATATCTAGTAACTCTTGTAGCCCCTTTTCTGGTTTATACATTGTTTGGATTATATTGTACATAATCCCCCAAAAAAATGTGTACTATATATAATATATGTACATTGTAAAAACAACGGAGAATTTGGTGGAGGGGACAACAACACAATTCTTCTAAAAATAGCAGAAATAAATCAGGAAAAAGGCTTCTAGACTCACTAAATATTTGCATTACGTATTCTTTCAATGTTGTAGCAGGAAAACCAAAAGAGATTTTCTTTACATTTCACGTTTTCCTTCATTCTCTCATGAAAAGAATACGAACAAAATGTGCTTGTATTAGTCTTTCAAGATGATCGGTCAGTCAATAAAAAAGATTCTTTGGAGGGTACACTTTTTTTAATTTCTATCCTTATGTATTTCAGAAATATTTCAATTTCGGAACATTCTCCTTATTTTCATATCAATCTGCGAAAATTGGTTACAGATTTAAATTTTCGATTATACAGTAGACCACCGCCTTTATACGTACGTCCAGAGTGATTCATTTGCTTTTTTTAGTTTTGACCCCAGCGAATATAGGCTATGAGGCCATAGTAAGCGATCATTAAACTCCCTTCAATTTCGCGATCATTAAACTCCATTAAGAACTTTACCCATGCTCTATACTGATTGGTTCATTTTACCACCCGTTTGAATATCCAATCACTTAATAATAGCGAGTTGCTGTTTTGCGGTCTTCACTCTTTTTATGCCATCTGCACCAGTGTCTCCAAAAATGAAATTACTCATTCATATTTTTGAGCAATAAGAGCGAGACTCATCTACATTAACCAAAACGACCAACAAGAAAAATATTTAAGATGTCTCTCTTTCTGTTATCTAACAAAGCCAACTGCAATTGGAAGAAACTAAGAAACAATAATAACATTCTTTGTAACGTAAATGTTCGAATTACGTACATTGTTATCAATAATATTTGTTATTTTATATATACATAAAACTAACTTCAAATAGCTGTGTGTATAACTTTTTCACGTATAATTAAAGTGATTATTAATCGTGTAATTGATTAAAGGAATCATAGACCTTGCTTCTGCAGCTGATCAATCTGACAAAAATTGAAGATAGAGGCCTAAGAAACAATCATCCGGGAATTACTGTGATGCTCGATTTTCATGTTTTTTTCTAGGCACACAGAAAAACACAGTGACCATCACTGTCAGAGATTCTTCTCTTCGTCAGAGAATTCTAGAAAAACTATGGTCGTGATACCATACCATTTTATGGTATCATTAACGATTTTCGTTAGAGTTTGGGGTATAGTAATGGCAATAATGGCTTTTTAATTTCGCCTGGACATTTTCAGACTATTTCACCCGTACACGACGAAGGATATGGGAGTTTGCTACACGTTCAACAGCCCGCACCTCGTCAAAGAATCCAGCCCCAACGTCAGCATCGAAGACCGCAGAAAGAACTTCAAGCCCAGAGCTTCGTTCAAAACCGGACCGCAGGTCAGTGTTGAAGGGTGGACGTTTTTACGTTCAAAAATAAATTTAAGAACTTGAGTACAATAATTTACATCAACTTCTGTCTTCCATGTAATAAAACAGTTTTATTTGAATTTCAAATTTTACTCATCTGATCGAATAGAAATGGCTTTTACTTTACTTCTTAATGCTCATTCACTATTGTACATAAACGAATTAAACATAATTATAAATCAACATTATTAAGAAAATTGATTCAATTAATTCAACCGCAAATAATATTCGGCTTTAAGTTAAATTTATATTTTTTTAGTGTGAATTCTCAATATTCTATAACCGATTTTCATCAATTTAAAACATCATCCAGAAATTTTAATGAGAATTTCTGAGAAGAAAAGATTTTAGAAAGAAAACACAAACCATGCATATCGTATCAGCAGAAACCAAAGAAAAGAACTATTCTTCAGAGGAAATAAAACTAATAAACGTGGACATTACTTCAAGACAAAAAGGCATTTTTTATACAATCTCTTATCATGTGAAAGGATAAAGAAATTTTTAACGCAAGTTGCAGTATTCCTAAAAATACACATTTTTCATGAAACTGATCAATGCAAACCCTTGTTGTGTCCACCACCTTATACCAATGCTTTAATGAGTTTAATCCTTAGTGTTTGTTTCGGACGTAGCAGTCCCAGGCCACGATGGATAGCCGCCTCTGATTATCATTCATCCGCCCTCATTTAGGCCAGCTGATGCACGATGCTGCTGCTTGCTTCTCGCCGTCGGTAGTGGTGCAGGGCGGTCGATCAGGGATTGTGCCCAGGAACACGTCCAGTCGTCTCTTAAAGGTCTCCAGGGTGAACTCACCCTCTTGCAGATCCTTTGGTAGGACGTTAAACAGACTCGGCCTTGCCACGGAAAGGGATCCTTTCCGCAGGGATTGAAATCTGACCGCAGATCTGTTACGTAGTGGGGAGATCATGTACAGTCGTTACGGTATGATCCTCGTTACGGTATGTCTCAATCCTGAATGCCTGGCATTCGAAGTTTGGTGCAATCCCGGTCATCATTTCCCACGTGTACAGAATGACATACCTCTCCCATCTCCTCCGCAGTGTGTACAGACCCAGTCACTGTACCTCAGAGCCTCAAACTTGGTCCCTTTGAACTGTATGTTGTTCACTTGGGCCCAGTCATATATTGCAGAATGGACTTCTTGCAACCTCTCACAGTCTGTCTTGTCCATGATGGTCATTAGTATCCTGGTGTCGTCTGCAAATGACGATGCAGCGGCGTGGTTTACTGCCACATCTATGTGGGCGATGTGAACGAGGAAGAGGATTGGCAGAGTACCGTTCCTTGTGGTACTCCACTCTTCACCCTAGCCTCGCCCGATTTCGAGCCTCCAACAACGACAGCTTGCAGTTATTCTGTTAGGAAGCTGTGGAACCATGCCAGCAATTCACCTCCGACCCCAAGTAGTCTTAATTTTCTGAAGAGAACTCCATGGTCAACTTTGTCAAAAGCTTTCGTGAAGTCCAAAGACACCACGTCCGCCCTGGCCCCCTCCTTCAGAATGGCCAGGATTTGGTGGTGATGCTCCAGTAACTGATACAAGCAGGAGCGATTTCGCCTAAAACCGTGTTGCCTTCTGCTGAAAAGGTCAGCTTCCTCCATGTTCTGCACCAACCTTCTGGCAACAACCTTCTCAAATACTTTGATTACGTGTGAAGTTAATGTAACCGGCCTGTAATTTTGGGTTTTATCTCTTGCACCGCCTTTGTAGACTGGGGTTATTAGCCCTAATTTTCAGTAACTAGGAACGCTTCCTTCTCCTAATGAAGTTTTCCAGAGTAAAGTCGATGGGACCTTTAATGCACCTACAATGTTTTTCAGTAACACAACATGGACCCCATCTGGCCCGGGAGCTAAATAAGTCGTTTATTCTTGGATACTCCTTTCTAGATCCGGTGTTTCAAACTCAATGTTAATCAGCACCCGCCCCCTGGTAGGTCTTGAATGACTCTAATTGCGTTCCCCTATCTTGAGTATCGGGGTTTGCTGAATACTTTTTCAAACTGCATTCCTAGCAGTTTGCGCATTTCCTGGTCGTCTCCAATAAGGACATCGTTTTTTTCCAGAGCCCCCCACTGAGTCTCTGTAAATATTTGTAGAAATATTTGATATTCTCCTGAGCGGCAGCTACAGCTCGCGCCTTCGCAACTTGTTCAGGCTCGTGCGAGTCCTGCAACTGTCGTCAATTTTCTCCTTTAGATGTTCCCGCCTCCACCTCTTCATAATCTTGGAGGCCGCCGTTTGGCGGCCTCCAGGCGCCGTTTGGCGGCCTCCAATTCTTCATAATGTGCCGTTTGGGGTCGTTCTTCCCGGCGTGTGACGCGTGCATATCTGCAGTAATACTTCGCACAGCTTGTTGTACATTGATTCGGCATTTAAGTGCCACAGGCCTCCCAGGCTGTTCTTCGATGATGAAAATTTAGCCCAGCCGGACCTTCTCGAGATGTAGGTCTAGGCTGGTTTCCAATCCCAATTGTTGTTTCGACCACAACTAGTCGATGGTCTGAAAGTGCGGTCTCCTCAACACGAATACCAGCAACCAATTTTTCGTTGCTGGTGAAGAATAGATCCAGGATATTGTGTTCTCATGTTGGCACCAGCATCTGTTGACTTAGGAAGTGCTCCCTAGCGAATCGAAGTAGTTGTGTTGCCTGGGTTCCGTCCTGATCTCTGCGCCGTCCTAAACAGTCAAAGTGTGGCCATCGTATGAGTGGTAGATTAACATCTCCTGCAACCACAATACTTGGGGAGCGTTCACCCAAGTTGGCCACCTCTTTTTCTGTTCTCTCAAGGGTTTCATTGAATTTTTGCAGCGGGCAGTCAGGCGGTCGGTATACGATAGCTATGTACAATTGGAGATGGGAGGTGTGTATCAAAACATGTTCCACATATCCATTGGAGCCTAAAAGCATGGGAACTGTTTTTGCCGTGAGGGAGTTTCTGAGGTAGACTATAACACCTCCTTTTTTTCTCCCTTCTTTTCGGTCTACTCGGTAATGTTAAATTCTTTACATATCGATTTCTCAATCTTGGATATCTTCTCTTGGATGTAACTCGGTTAAGACAAGCGTGATTATTCTGCGGCCTGAGTCTAAGGTGATGAAACCGACAGGTATCTCGTTTGCAAGCTATATTTTTCATTGTATTCCAGCACAATTACAGGTGATAGTATGGGCAGTATTTCCCATTTTTTCATCCACGTTGGTTTTTGCTTCCAAATGTGGAAAATCTGTGACAAATCTTAGGGCGAGGAGACCTCCAGCTCAATCCTTTATTCTCCCGATCGCAATTTCCCTGAAGATAACTCCAGCTGATGTGTTTGTTACCCTTACCAGGAGGAATAGCAGCCGAGGCATTTAAATGACCTGTGGGAGTGAGAGTGCATGGTGTGGGAGAGGGGAAGGGTTTCTCCTTCCCCTTCCTTCTCTAGGCTGCGGTCAAGGGGTGGAGTGCGAGTAAAGGGAAAGTGAGCGGGTTACGATTTCGGAAAGCGTTGGAGCAGGCGGGGCAGAGGGAGTAGACGATGGCAACGCCTGGACACGCCGGCTGAGAGGAAACTTTAGGCTTACTTTGAGTCACTTCACTCATTAAAACTCCTTGCACAACTTCGACACATTCCTTGAACCACTCCTCATTCATTACACATTTTCTGCATATGAATGACGCCATCGTCTTTACATGACGCCATCGTCTTTACAAGTTGGGATACTGGGAGTAGAGAGCATTCAAAGTGACAAAGCAGGCTCATGAATCACATCGGAGCGCAAATTTACCGTAATTCAGTTTTAGGAAATTAAAGCCGAGGACAGCGATGCATTTACCCCGTAGTGGGCTCAGGTGGCTCGAGTTGATCGACTCCCGGCCCCGGGACGGAAGGAAGATTTTTGGCTGCGCATTATAAGTCGTCGTAGACTTTACCACCCAGAACTCAGAATTCATCCTAAGACCAAATATTATGCCACATCAATCAAAACTTCGACACATTCCTTGAACCACTCCTCATTATTTACACATTTTCTGCATATGAATGACGCCATCGTCTCTACATGACGCCATCGTCTTCTAAAGTTGGTATACGGTATACTGGGAGTAGAGAGCATTCAAAGTGACAGAGCAGGCTCAAGAATTACATCGGAGCGCAAATTTACCGTAATTCAGTTTTAGGAAATTTTAAGCCGAGGACAGCGATGCATTTACCCCTTCGTGGGCTCAGGTGGCTCGAGTTGATCGACTCCCGGCCCCGGGAAGATTTTTGGAAAAGATTTCCGGATTTGGGAAGATTTCCGGAAGATTTTTGGCTGCGCATTATAAGTCGTCGTGGACTTTATCACCCAGAACTCAGAATTCATCCTAAGACCAAATATTATGCCACATCAATCAACGCAAATGCACACTATTCATACAAATGTGCGTATACGAGTGAGAGTTCACTATTCATATTTTACTATTCGACATAGTTTATATAAAGCACTTGCCTTTTACCACGTTTCCAACTGGAATACCAAAAAACACGTTTTATTTAAAACTGCTGTTTTCCTTGACAACGACACGACCAGAGCGGCCTGAGCCTGACGCTGAACCTGCACGCGGCGAGCTACCTGTCGTTGCTGTCGCCCTGGTCGGGGCTGCGCGTGGTGCTGCATGAGCCTTGGCAGACGCCCTTCCCGGCCGATGAAGGCTTCAACCTCGCCGCGGGACTGTCCCACTCCATCGCTGTAACCAAGGTGAAACAAGAGTGTTGTAAACGTACTGTAAATTCAATAACATCGATTAAAATGCAGCATTTATAGATGTAATAAATTCTGAGTCGATGCAAATAAATCAATGGATTGCTGGTGATATGAAGTGAATGTACGTACGTGCAGTTCATGTTTAACACTAAAATAATAATATAAATTTAGTGGATATATTTGTGATTAAATTTTTTCAACTGATTAAATTAATGCAGAAATTCGATCCATGGCGTTAAATAGTTCGAAACACAAATTATTTATTATGCATTGAAATGAATAATTCCACAGACTGTGATGCAGCGCATAGGACCTCCACACGGACAGTGTTCCGACACCAATACCCCGATGTTTGACTACTCCGAAGCGGTAAACCTTCTTACTGCAACAGTAATTTATCATCCTGCACTACGATAAAAAGATGGCAAATAGATCGGCACTCTGCGGATGAAATTTAACTCATATCTTTTAGAGTGATTTCGTTTAAAGCTTTGCTCAGGTCATGTTACGTAAAATATTACTGTAGCGGGCCAGCCTTGGCTGCGCTTAAAACGCTGTTGGGTTTTCTTAATCCGGCGCACCTCTCTGAAAAAATTTAGCCCAAATGGAGAAAAAGTATGAGTTGATAGTTTTCTCGAGAAGCAGCTGATTAAGAGTAGGCAGCATACTTTTGCTTGAGTCACTAAACTTTGTAATGTCTGTAAATATCTGTGTCTAAATGTCTGTACTTGTAAACCTAAATGAATTAAGTTTATAGTCCTATGTCGTGGCTGCGGGTTACCTTGTAACCCAACAAATTAAATATACCTTATGGTCTTTGAAAATTCGCTGAACCATTTTGATAATCCTCGTACGTTAGGGCCCGCAGGCAGAGACCCAGTAACGTCGTTGTATATGGAGCGTAGTTCTCCCGCTACACTACCTCCAGTTAAAAAGTCGTATGCTAAATTTTTATGGATATTTCATCCCCTCCCCATAGCTGTGCAATAAGCTGTGCCTAGAACGCGAGTTCCGGCGGCGGTGCAACTGCACAGTCAACGAGGGCCCCGCCTTCGACTCCCTCGACGAGGAGGACGAGTTCAAGGCCAAGAAATTCGAGAAGTGCGACTCCTTCGACCGCTATCAGGGTAACAATGAATCATAAGGCCACAGTGTAATTTTCGATTTTTCGATAGATGAGATTTTCCTAATTGTCATGATCTAGCAAGAACTAGTCATACATATCGATATCAGCAGGCGGCCTTTTAGAGGCATTCACCATGAGGAAGCATTCACACGTCTCTTTAACTTCACTTCTTGTTGTTTGTTTGTTTGTTTGTCTACTACAAATCTTATAATCGATATTCAACACACTTCTACTTGTCCAATCGATTTGAAACGCAGCAATCAATTGACAGAATAAAAAATTAAAAAAATAAAATAAATAATTTTTAAATATTAAAAAAAAACGTTAAAAAAATTTTTTTTTTATATATTTAAAAATGAAAAATAAAGTCACTTTACTTTTGTAACATCGGAGAAGCAGGCCTCTTCAGTAGTATTGTCTTTAAAAAGTAATTTTTAAAAGCATATTTTTATTACAACTGCTCTTTAACTTCACTTCGTTATCTGCTACAAATCTTATAATCAATATTTAACACACTCTTACCTGTCCAATCGATATGAAATTTTGCACTCTTGCGTAAATTCGGAGACAATGCATGAATCAATTGGCAGAATAATTAATTTTGGAAATTTATTTTTATATAAAAAATTTAAAATTTAATTATTTATTATATGAAAATAAAATTAAGAATTCATTGTACATGTGTAACATCGGAGACACTGGATTCTTTATAAGTGTGGTCTTCAAAAAGTAATTCTTAAAGTCGTATTATTCGGTCCTCAAACTGCATACCCATAAGTGCACATTCATTATGTAATTCAGAAATATAGCCAAAAATTAGATGGCCTAAGAATTAATTTCTATTTTTGGTCGCCAGGTTTGTGTGTGCAGGTTGTTACCTACATGGCCACCACCGAGATATTCAACTGCACCTGCTACCCCGCCTGCACGTGAGCAATTAACTTAAGTGTGATCGCACACGAAAAAGTGAGTGTCAAACTCGCGTTGTCATTACGTATTCGTACGCTAAATGTTTTAATAATCAATTTTCACCCATGTGACAAATTTCCTCTTAGGGACGCCATGACAGTCCTAGTGCATAATAATAATACATGCATTTTTCCATGCATTTTTCCCCACATAAAGCCTAAAGTTAAGGATATTTTCAGTTCAACAAATATGGTTATATATATAAACATCAAAGCGTTTATGAACATTTGTTGAAATGTTGGTTCGTGTTCTTCGTTACATGTCCCACAATTCCACAAAAATTCACCATATCTTTATAAGAGAAAACGCTTCGGAGTCCAGCTCCATCATCGGTTCATAACACAAAGTTCAGTTTAGAAAAAGTTCAGTCTAGTGACACAAATACAATATATTATTAAAGTAAAATCCACTGTCAGGTGTTGAAACGGAAAACAAATAAATGAGACATGAAATGAACGCTAGTAAACGGCTTATCAATTTACTATTTCAAGAGGAAAGGAGCTAAAAGCGGCATTCAGACTAGACTTCTGTTTGAATATATACATGGATGCTAATATTCGTAGATCAGTACTGCACCTGCTTTTCACTAGGCTACATGGTTGGCCAATCGTCCTCTTGATTTTAAGCAAATTTTCTATAACGATATGTTGATGATACTTTTTTTATTTTTAACGATCTCTCGTATGTGGGCCTTTTCTTTGACTTTCTTAATCTTCAACATAAGTCTATCAAATTCACTAAAAATTTAAAAGCGAAGAAAACACCACAAAAATTTAGCATATCTCTTTTGAAAACGTTTCGGTGACCAGCTCCATCGTCAGTTCAATAAATCTAGAACACAGATAAATGCAGAAAATTAGTTTGGAGTTAATAAAAAACACAAGTTAAACACCTGAATTTACAGACAAAGAGCAGAATAATAAAGTAAGTACCTATCTATTCACAATTTCTAATGGATACGAACTATAGGCAGCATTTAAACTAGGCTTCTCTTTAAAATATACAATGATTCCAAAATACGCAGATCGGAAGCACCAGAACTATAAGCTAAACCCTTAAAGTCTGTGTCGGACACTGGAACGTTGCACTGTTCGGCGTGAGTGCTCACAGCCGAATGAGGAGGGCACGATAGTAACTGCCCAGTCCTATAACTCCTCCCTCTATGCTCAGCGACCCTAGTGTAAAAAATGCGTGCCGTCATCCCAACGTACGCAGATACACATCGTGCACAACTAAATTTATAAACTAGGGACGAACGCATATGAGAAGGAAGGATATCTTTGTACCTTTGTAGGACAAACTTGTTTGAAAACAATAGTTTGTCCTTTCTAGACTGCAATATTACTAAATCTAATGGCCGTTTTCAAACATCTGTTTACAGAAAACTAACTTTCACCGGCCTAAGGACCAGCGATTTTTTAGTTTTTGTTCTTTTAGATTCAAGTTAAACGGGCTTCAAACACTATTACACCGCGGCTTTCGTATATGCTCGACTTTCCATTCCATGCATTCTGAATTTGAATCTTTGCGCAATATCTTCTCGCTTAATGGATTTCCTTCTGGCTTGGTGTTAACCCAGATTAAAAAATTCATGTCTAAGCGATACAGTGAAGTGGTTCCAGAACCTGATAGTAGAAGCGTTGTTTACTGTTCTCTTCCATACTTCGGCCATGCGTCCGAAGTTATGTCAAGAGAATGAAAAGTTTTGTTTATGAAATGCTTCCCGGACATTAATCTTCGTATCTTACTGATGAAAATTTTCAAAATAGGTTCGTTTTTTTAGGTACAAAGATATCCTTCCTTCTTATATGCGATCGTGTCTAGTATATAAATTTAGTTATGCACGATGTGCATCTGCGTACGTTGGGATGACGGCACGCAACTTTCACACTAGGTTATAGGACTGGGGCCGGATTATCAAAACTTCGTAACTTTTTGTACTTACGACAAAAAAGTTCTGTGGTACGTTAATACACCCTAATTTTGGCATTATCAGAACTTTCGTACGCAAGTCTTAGCTAAAAGCCTAAATTTTTTTCCCGCGCCAATTTTTCCCGCGCAAATGTTTTTATAATACCACCGCTAGTATTACGTTGTCATAGCAACGCCACTCGTAAGTCGATTTTGCGTACTTACGAAGTTTTGATAATACGGCCCCTGGGCAGTTACTATCGCGCCCTTCTCATTCGGCTGTGCGAACTCACGCCGAACAGTGCAACGTTCCGGTGTCCGATACAGACTTTAAGGTTTTAGCTTATAGTTCTGGTGCTTCCGATCTGCGTATTTTGGAATCATTGTATATTTTTAAAGAGAAGCCTAGTTTAAATGCTGCATATAGTTCTTATCCATTAGAAATATTGAATAGATAGGTACTTACTTCATTATTCTGCCCTTTGTATGTTAATTTAGGTTTTTAACTTCTGTGTTCTTTTATTAACTCCAAACTAATTTTTTGCATTTATCTGTGTTCTAGATTTATCGAACAGACGATGGAGCTGGTCTCCGAAACGTTTTCAAAAGAGACATGCTAAATTTTTGTGGTGTTTTCTTCGCTTTTAAATTTCTAGTGAATCTGCGATTAAAGCAATCTAGTGACTTTTTTACTTGTGTTCTATCAAATTCACAATGGAGCTTGAATCAAACAATATTTTGTCCCTCCTTGATTACAAAGTTACCAAATCTAATTGCCGTTTTCAAACTTCTTTTTTTATAAAATTGACATTTACCGGCTCATGCGCCAGCTTTTTTAGCCTTTGTTCATATAGTTTCAAATTAAATGGGATCAAAACATTGATAAACCGCGGCTTTCGCATTTGTTCTACTTTCCTAGCCATGCACTCTGAATTTGCATATTTGCGCAGTATCTTTTCACAAAATTGGCTTTCCATTGCATCTGGTGTTTACCCATATTAAAAAGTTTACGTCCAAGCTATTTACTCAAGTTGTTCCCGATTTTGACAATGGAAACGTGCGTTACTGTTCTTTTCCCTACTTTGGCCCCGCATGTGAGACCACGTCAAAAGAATTAAAAGTTTTATTCGCTAAATACCTTCCGGATGTAAATCTTCATGTGTTGTTACTTAGCAATTTTAGAATCGGCTCTTTTTTCATGTATAAAGATACCCTCCCTGTTCTTATGCGATCGTCACTAGTTTACAGATATAGTTGTGCGCAGCATCGTACGTCGGTATGACGTCACGCAATTTCTACACTAGGCTGGCTGATCATAGGGGCAGGAGTTATAGAACGGGGAACCTACTTGCACATCCACCTTGTTATGATCGGCATACCGTATAATAATTATTTGCTTATTTGAATCTGTATTTATCTCTATTATTCTGAAAATTTCTGAGCTCATCTTAAATTTCTTCATTTTTCTCAACGTATTTTTGTCAATTGTTAGTTAGGCTTAAGAACTGAACAAATGGTTCTTTGGGGAAGGACGTGTCTGTCGTTAGAGAGAATATTTTGATGGGAGTCAGTCAATTAGTGGAAGCCGAATGAAGAAGTCGTATGTACACAGTGTAATTAAGTTCACGAGTTCATCGTTATAAATTACCGTGTCTTGTTAGCGCATTTTCTCATTTATGGAAAAAATGCACTATTGTGCTCGCCATTTCCGTCTGTCTGTCTGTCCGTCCGTCCGTGACCTCAAGTTTTCGTCGACGAGAAAATGCGCTCTCTGTCACTCACTGCAGTGGGAAATGAGTTATATTTTTTATCCTCCAAAGGCAGCGTACTACCGAACTATACGGTCTCATAAGGCTTTATGAAGTGGTAGCCATGTGTGAACAGCGGCGGCGTGTGCGCCACAATACTGTAAACTCATTCTGTTGTACGTGTTCATGCCGAGCAGTGTAACACCTCTGTATCTGATAGTGATTTTAAAGTTCTTGCTTCCACATCCGGTGTTACTGATCTACGAATTTTATAATCCCTGTATATATTCAAACAGAAGCCTAGTCTGAATGCCGCTTTTAGCTCCTTTCCTCTTGCAAAAGTATATAGATAGCCTGTTTATCAGCGTTCATTTCATGTCTCATTTATATTTAAAACAAAACTACACCCATATTAAAACAATAATTGTATCTCTCATGATACAGAAGCCATTACAGCACAGCGCTTACTTTACGACGCCTAACACCCATTTTCAACGACACCCCTCTTACACATATGCAATGGAAAGAAGAGAAATACACTGGCATCCAAAAATATTATCAATTCATATGCCAAAACGCACATTTATGCAACTCCAAAACACTAATCTGGTCTGAAACATCATATATAATAAATCCCTGAACTATTCCTAATAAAATCCCTGATAAATCCCTGAAATATATTCCCTGATTTCTGAATATGAGCACATGACACTCGCTGCACATTACCCATGCATAAACAAACGAAGCCCGACAAGCAACAAACAAAACAAGAACTGGAACCTCACATGGATACAACAAGTACGCAAAAATAACCAAACACGAAATAAAAACAATTGCTAAACACAGCCTTTTGCGAACATATCCAACGCAAATTGACATGTTAGCATCTGCATACACCTCGAACTGCAAGCATAACCGAAGTTCACATTGCCAGCCTAAAGCCAATAAAGAAGGCTTCGGCTCCATTACTTGGAACCGAAGCAGAAAATAACTAACGTTCGGACTGAAACTTGACTATATAAAAAAAACAAGAAATTCAATCTGGTAATGAATACTTAAATGCTTTAATTGAGTGCTCGCTTTGAACTCAATCTGTTCATTCACGATTGACAGGGAGGTGCGTTACTCAGCTCTCATATCGTCCACAAATGTCAACCCTGAGTTCCTCAAAATCGTCCAGAACATCAAAAAGTTTCCAATGGGCGTGGACTTGTGCGGGTAAGTGATAAGCACTTGATTGATTGTTTTCACTGAGTGCATAATGATTGTATGGATAATTTCAGTAGAATGTTTTTTGGAATGTTGATCTTCGACAAAACAGATTTAAACAGATTTGACAACAGATTTTAGCCGAATGTAGAACGATAGTCGACCATTTCTACTGTAATATGTGTTTCGAAGCAAAATTGATCCAAAAAGTGATTAAGACTAATTATCTCTACATATTAACCCTATTTGCATCATATTGATGCATACAATTGGAAATTAAAATAAACGCTTGAATACCATTACGGCTTTTCTTACTGCACAGGGATTTAAATTCGACGGTTCGCCTTCAGATCTACCTTGCGTCTTCCTCGTACGAAGAAATTGACGAGTCTCCCGCGTATACTGTGCGTGAAACATGATCATATAAATTTGCAAGGCACATATATGACGAAATGATCATATATTTTTGAATACTTTAATGTCTAACTTGCACGTATCTCAATAAGTATTTTTAAAATTATATGTGAATTTAATTTACGCCGAAAACTGTTATTGAACTATTAAAATTACTAGATTGCTTAAATCGCAGGAGTATCAGTAATTTAAAAGCAAAGAAAGCAGCCAGAACAATAACCATTTCTTAAGAATGAAAACATTTCAGAGTCCAGCTCCATCGTCAGTCCAAAAGTTCAAAACCTATAAAAAAGGCCAAAACAATTAGAAAACTAAATTCACATCGAAGATAATAAACGTAATTTGACGTAAATAAAAACAAATACACATAAGGAGACAGGCCTATCTATTACAATTTCAAGGGAGATAGGGGCTGTAGGCTGCATTTAAACCAGGTTTCTGTTTAAAAATATACAGGGATTCTAAAATCCGTAGGTCAGTAACACCGGTCGTGTAAGCTAGAACTCTAAAATCACTATCGGACACCGGAACATTGCACTGCTCGGCCTGGACGCGCACAGCTGAATGAGGAGGATGCGCAAGTGTTCCCGTTCTAAAACTTCTGCCCTTATGCTTCGCCAGCCTAGTGTAAAAATTGCGAGACGTCATACCGACGTACGCTGATGCGCACTGCGCACAACTGTATCTATATACCAGGGACGAGCTCATAAAAAGAGGGAGAGCATCTTTATACCTGAAGAACGAACCAATTTTGAAGTTATTCACCAATATCACCTGCAGATTTACATTCGGAAGATATTTATTGATCAAATCTTTCAGTTTCTTAGCCATAGTCTCAGATGCTTTACCGAAGTAGGTTCAGTCAGGTTCCTACTGTCACAATCAAGAACAACTTCATTATATTGCCTTGACATAAATTTCTTAATTTGAGTATAAATCAATTACGACTGAAACCCATTTAAAGAAATGATGCTGCGCAAAAATTCAAGTTCAGTGTGCATAGCATTGAAAGTTGAACAAATACGAAAGCCATGATTTAATAATGTTTTAATCCCATTTAATTTAAAAAGAAATGAGCAAAAACGAAAAAAAGTTGGTGCTTAAACCGGTAAACGTTGACTTTCTGAACACAGAGGCCTGGAAACGGCCATTAGCTTTTGTAACATTACAATCCAGAAAATATAAACTATTGCTAGTTTCGAGCTCCATGGTGAATTTTATTGACTGATATTGGAGGTTTAGATAATCAATGAAAAGGGCCACATGAGAGGGATGCTTGAGAATTAAAAAAGTATCATTGACATATCGGTTATAAAAAACAGGTTTAAAATCAAGAGGACAATTGGCCAGCCATTTAGTCTCGTGAAAACACATAAAAATATTAGCATAAGTAGGACCTAGTGGTAGACCCATGCCCAAGCCGTCAATTTGTCTGTAAAATTTGCCGGCAAATACAAAACACGAGTTTAAAACAGATAATTCAAGAAAAGATTTTAAAAATTTGCGGTTGAAACCCATGACAATGTCATTAATCTCTTTGAACAATGAATTGAGGCAAATATCAATAGTTTCATGGAGAGGTATATTTTTTAAACAAATTCTCGACATCAAATGAAGCCATAGTCAGATCCTGGACATTGGTGAAATTCTTTAAGCGGTCTACAAACACGTAAGAATTGTCTACCGTATATTGGTTAGTTGTCAAACAGTTCAACACTGGGATCAAAAATTTAGCAAGCTTGAAACTCGGAGTGTTGTAAGCAGCAAAAATGGGTCGAAACTGAAATTTTGAAGCGAAATCTGGCTTATGAATCTTAGGTAAGCCATGCAAAATACATGGGCAAGAGCAGGCGTAAAGTTTCAAATAAGTTTCAGAAGAAAGTGCAGCGGAATTTTTAAGTTTTCTCAAAAAATTATTAATTTTATCCTCAATCATCAAAATAGTTTTAGCAATTGGATCTGTAATTTCGATAAATTTAGAAGGGTCTGTAATGCGAGCAGAAAGGCTACTGTTGTAACGATTGCGGTCAACCAATACGACTCCCTTGCCCTTATCTGACTTATAAATGATTATAGGTCCTTATTTTTGGCCAAGTCCTTTACCAAATGGGTGTCACGGGGTTGGAAAACAGACGAGAAAATTTTATAAGCTTAGAAATCGTAAAAATGACGGTAAGCTAGGCTTTGCAAATTGCCAAGAAATTCAGGTCGATTGGTAATAGAAACATTTTTTTAAAGTAAGAGCAAGCCTTTCAAAGGCTAAAAAGTATATATAGAAGTCCAATTTGAAAACAGGAATTGAAAGATTTGATCAATAAATATCTTCCAAATGTAAATATGCAGGTGAAATTGGTGAATAACTTCAAAATAGCGCTGCTACGACGTCTCGGAGGGCGTCACCAAGTCCGTCGCTCCCGTCAAGAAAATTCCGAAGAAAATCATCATCTTGGCCGGTCCTCCGGAGCCTCTGCCTCACGGTAGGAATTGAGGGTCTGCCACCGAGAAAACATATATCAATTCATAAAGATGCTCTTACAATTATTCACTTGAATTCACAATGACCTGTTTTCGTTGGTGGCTGAAATCATGCCTATTCAGAATATTAGTGGGAATTGACCAAGTTTCAAATTTAGTGTTGTCAATGTGATAGAATCAGTCACTTGGCGAGCCGGGATATTTTGCTCACCATGCTCCAATACACGGAAAAATAACTATCCATAACTGTCAAAGACGTGCAACAAGGATAATTCCTGGCTTAAAGGGCATGTCTTATGAAGAAAGATTGAAGTTTATGAAGTTTCCCAGCTTCCGTTATCGTCGCCTGCGGGGTGACCTCATTGAAGTATACAAGTATACTCATGATTTATACAAGGTCCCCGAAGGATTACTAGAATTTGAAACAAGAACCAACACCAGGGGCCACAGCTATAAACTAAAGGCCATGCAGCCATGCAGTAGCATAGGGTAACATGGGGCAAAGAGACCACTGCCGGTCAAAGGCACATAGCGGGTTTCTCGCTAAGTATGGCAGATATTGGTCCGTGTTCTCTACCGTCGGTCGACAGTTTCACTGGGATGAAGTGTACGGATTTATGTTTTGCTAAGAGTTTGCGTTATTAAGTTATTTTTGTCCGGTGTCAATTCACTTGACCTGATAGAGATTGAGGACGAGTCATCATCTGATAGACACGTGATAGATCACGCGATCAAGACCTCAGTAGTGGTCGGAATCGAAGCTTATAAAAGGTCTAGCAACCTTAATTAAGCAGGGCCCCTTGTAGCTGATGAGCACTCCGCGATGTAGCGTGTCGGTAGAATTCTCCGACCTTTCGGTCGATGCCGTAGCTTATACCTCTGTAACGCAACTCTGTATTACCACCCCGTATACAAGATACGTTATCTGGACTTATCTGTCTTACTTGTTCTCACTACCTTAGTCGAAGAACCAGATCCTCAGGTAGAGCTTAATATAATGAGTTCACGGTCTTGAGCGCAACCTCGGACATTTTTGAATAACTGTTTTAGCCCAGATAAAAGTTTTTCTGCTGCTAAATAAAACTGTTTTTGATTACTGTAGATGAAGCTTTTGAAATTACTGTGAATTCTATTTTGAAAGTAATATTTATAGGGATAATTTTGAGATCAAATTTAGACTATTAGCTTTTAAAATAAAATGTTGACACGATATAAATTGAAATGATACCTAGTAGGGCAACGGGCCCATGCGTGTCACGGCCGGGGCAAAACGCCCATGGTGGGCTCAATACCCTCTCGGTGAAGTCGTGTGTTATACATCAGTAGATTTGTCTCAATAACCTTTTCAAAACTATGACTAGCTTATTGAATTACAAATTACACTTCATATTGTATGGTTTTTTGCAAGGCAGCAGGTTTAGTTTCTAGTTATGCGCATTTATGACCCTTTATCAATTTATCGACTCTTGCCTTGCCAAAAGTTGATTTCAGTCAACACTAATGAGCCAGAAGCTGATGAGTTTTTATGGTGTTGGCTGAAATCACGATTAGATACGAATTCTCTGCACATAATGGCCCGTATGCTAAATAGGGCACTAGCACTACGAAGTAGCACTATGCACTACGAAGTGTCCTGTTGGTATGCTAAATACGTCACAGACACTAAGCACTTCGAAGTAGCTCTACAATGTTTAGTGTCACTTAGTGTCGCACTACTGATTAGCGTAGTGCTACTTCATAGTGCTAGTGCCCCATTTAGCATGCCAACCGTAGTGTTCCATGTCGCACTAGTACGGCACTACGGCTTGTAGTGCGTAGTGCTACTTCGTAGTGCTAGTGCCCTATTTAGCATACGGGCCAATGTCTGGATTATGGACGAAACTGGAACGAAGTTTTTTGCTGATCAACTAAATATATTCTTTCTAGTCAAGGATACATTTTTTCATGTCATGGACGAATTTTTTATCGCAAGGCTATAGTTTTAAAGTCAAGGATATATATTTTTATGTCAATGAATTTTTTTTCTTCACGTCAGTGATGGATTTTTTAAGCCAAGAGTATATTTTTTTCAAGTTAAGGATATGATATTTTGAGTTGTTAATAAATGAATGAATGTCATATTTTTTATTACAATTTTCTTATTTTAACTGTAAAGTGTAGTTTTATCATTTTTAAATAAAAAATATGCAATTGTGGTAAAGGGACCAAGGGTGGGCGACTTGCCCAAGCCCATGGGCCCATTGCTCCAGGGGTGGGGCAATGGGCACATTTTGACTTTTTGTACATAATAATGTTTCAATAAAAATTTAATAACTCTAAAGACGTCTAAGTCACATCATACATTCCTTATTAGTTGTACCTCTAAACAAAACAAAGAACCACCTCGTATCTATTAAAACTTCATCAAAAATTTAGTTTAAAAAAGAGGGCCCGCTGCCCCATGTTACCTTATGTACAGTATACTGTAGTCTTGAAATGCCTCGTATCATACGGAACAACTGGAATCAAGAAACGATTTTAAACCTACCGTCCGTTGAAAAGATTTGATCAAAAAGCTAGTCTAGTCAAGAAAAATACAAGAATCGGCGACAGGCCTATACAGGCCTATTCTTCAATGCCGAAGATACTATACTATATTAAATAACAATTAATTGGAACCTTTCATTGAGCTTCATTGTGTTCTCAATTTAATTGACACAGAAAATAACTGAATGATTGGTCGTAACTCAATCTGAAACTTATTCGTATTTCTGAGATATTTGCCACAATTTGGAAAGAAAATTCACGAAGTCAATCTAACAATTCCAAAAAGTTTATGATCTCTGACCATTTATTCGAGTATTGTGCTTACTTCATATGTCTTAACAAGCCGGCATTCATTATTTCTCAACATTTCATTCTACGTACTTTCAAGCACAACCATATTTCAACTCCATCCTGTTTTCATGTCGGCCCTCGTTTAGAAAATATTTTCGTATATACGCAAAATACTCTAATTTTTAATTTTTCATCATCATTAATATTTATTAATGTCATTGTTTTTCACAGGAAAGCCTATCAAGAAGCGCCCGCTGAGGTCAAGTGCCCGATGGTCTGAACGCTTCAACCAAGTCTTCATGAGCCAGTGAAAATGAGTCAAGCTTCCATTGCGTTACAAGTAAATAATATTTTCAAAAAATAATATTTTCATTTCATATGAATGAAATGAAAAAATGAAAAATATTTTCATTTCAAAATATGTTCATGAAAAGTACATGTCAAATCCTACGGACTTGTCTGTCGACAAATCCCTCAAATTTAAATATCTGCCTCATGTCTCGCATCAGAAAATATAACTCAGTACTCACTGCAGTGAGAGACAGAGAGCGCATTTTCTCGTCGACGAAAACGTGAAGTCACGGACGGACAGACGGACGGACNATTTGATAAACAGGAAAGGCTAATACAAGGAAATGCTCATGAACATATCGCATGTGAAGGATCTTATCTTTCAACAAGGAAGACATCAATCAGGAAATATCAAGGGACGAATGGTATCAACATTGTTGCCTGACACCTTCCTCCTACGGGGAAATTTTCAGACCGTCCTCGATTTTATCAAATCAAACGGAAGTGTTAACGCTCCTGAATTTGAGCGCTAGTTAAAATGCAAAAAAATGACAATATGCAGCATGTCGATAAATCATGCTATTAGCAAGAATTAAGAATCAGTTAAGCATTTCAATAGCTAAGAGATCTTAAAATTAGAAAATTCAGATTCACAATAGCACCTTCCTCCCTACGGGAAATTGGTATCTCAATTTGACATGGACGAATTGGTATATATACCTAAAACATCAGTTCAAAGTCTTTGAATTATTTGAATATAGCTCACCCCGAAAGTCTTATGTAATTAGATGTAAACATCATCCAAAAATTACATGAAATCGGAAGGAATCGTTGATCAAGATATTCAAAAAAGAACATGCTACGACAAAAACGGTTTGTTAGGAATGCATTAAAAATACAATCTTGGCTGTCTGCATATACACAGTAGCACCAAAAAAATAGCAAATTATAATGAAATCGCGTCACAATATTCGGTATTACAATTTGATTAACATCAACGTTTATATCAATAATAGATAGTAATACAGGATAATTTTCCCGAGAATCAACGCTCGTTGAAACTGAGAGAAAGAAAATGTTAAGCAAGAATATATAAGAGCTAGGAAAAAAAGTGGAACACTCTTAACTTATATGGTTCCTATTCATTAAGAAGCCAAAAGGCTGAGGCAACGTCAAGCGAAATCGCTTGCGAAAATGAAATATATCTCTGAAAAATACCACATGAATAAATACAACTGCAATAAATGAATGCATTCAATTTGCTTAGTAGTCTGTTGCATTCAAGGATAAAATGAGACATCGTCAATCGCTGTGTGGAGCGAGACTTGCATTTAAATACGTTATTACTTTAATGTAACGCAGGGTAAAATGATAAGTACCATGCGAAAGTGAAAAACATTGAAATCTTAATACGACATGAGAGATGAGAGAATGCGTTGATAACAAGCTTGCAGTTCGCAGGCAATGTAAACTTTTGAGGCACAGCGTTACTGGCCTCGCGCCTATCTTTTTGTTTCGTTTTTATTTCTGTTCTTTCAAGGCTGCATTCGCTCTCGTTGCATGGCTGCATGCTCGGCTGCAGTGCATGGCATTGCGCGTCGTTTGCTTGTTCGCCACGCGCTGGTGCAACGCACGTTATTGTAACTCTATTCCTGCCAAAATCAACTATGGCTTTAAACCTTGTTAACAGTTCGATTTCTATTAGAATCTTGCAGGAAAAACGTTTCCTAATAATAGAGTTCGTAGTCAGAGCATTTTAATTATGCTATTCGTCCTCAATAAGACAGTTCACTCATAAGGAATAACAACCTGATATACATCAATGCACGCTTTAAATGCCAATGCATCTATATTCATCAATTAACACACTTTTCGTATACGAAGCATTTGTCAATAGATACATTCGTCAATGCACCTATTTATTTAATGCAGATACCCGTCGGTAACCGTAACTTCCATACGTTGTATGAGTCAATGTCATTGAATCGAACGTTCAGAGACGCCATTGCTTTCAGTGTCTTGAAACTCGTCTAAGTTTACAGCACATTATAAAACTTATAGATTCGTGAACTATTAAAAGAAATAAAACATATTCATAAGAGCGTATCCACTATTGTTATCGGCTCTGGTAATTAGATAAATTAGCTGCAGTTGCTCATGATTATGTTCACTATCGTGAAGAAATGACTTCCTTTGCAATCAATCTTCATCTCAAGATGATAAGGTTAAATAATAGCCAAGTAAATTATTATAGAGCAGCTTATACGCGATCGTACTTTCTTCACAGTAGCGGTTGTACGCCTGAATATTAGTTTAGCATCTCATATTCAAAATGGCTGGATATAATGTGGATTTACAGCTTAGTATTTGACCTTTATATGACGTAAAAAAGTGAAATTGATTCATATTGCAATACGTCTAGGTTCTCTGATGAGTCGCGCTGGTTTGCCCAGGCCTCACGAGGTCAATGCGTCCACTCAGATGCTCAAAGCTCTCTGTACTTGAGTTCTCAGCCTTCATGTGTCATTGCACGGACTTCGCTATGTACTTGAAACTTATCCTCGTGGATATAGTATTTGAACATGCGGAATATAACGATCAGATGGCAGCATATAACATCGCTATGAAAACTGCATTGATGCATGCAGAATGCACATTATATCGAATCGAATTATAGACCTGCAAGGCTTTGAAGACAGAATCTGCAAGAGGCAAGCAGATTGGTGTGAAGAAATCTACTATATGGGAGCAATAATTAGAAAATGGAAGACCTACAAGACCACTACTAATCTCCATCGATCTGGGTCCCTGCGCGAGATCTCAGCCCGTGGGATCAAAACAATCACAATAACGGCGAGGAAAAATCCCAGAACCACAAAGGGGATCTAGTGAAGGACCTACAGAAAGCTGGGATCAACGTTACAAAGGCTACCATCAGCAACACTCTACGACGCCAGGGACTGAGATCTTGCAGTGCCAGACGTGCCCCCCAGCTAAAGCCAGTCCATATCCAGGCACGTCTGAAGTTTGCTAGAGAGCAGTTGGATATTCCAGAAGAGTATTGGGAGAATGTTACATGGTCAGATGGAACCAAAGTAGGACTATTTGGTAAAAACACAACTCGTCGTCTTTGGAGGGAAGTGAGTGCTGAGTTTCATCCAAAGAACATAATACCAACTGTGAAGCATGGGGTGGCAACACAATGCCTTTGGGCTGTTTTTCTACAAAGGGACCACATGCGAATACGAAATAATAATTAAATATAAAAACAATTTAAAAAACCACGTTTTTCTGGTGTTTACAAAACTAAAAGAAATGAAATAAAATAGATAAAAAAACTTTAAAAAAACACGTTTTCTAAACGGATAAAAAAGAGAAACATTAACTCTTACATAACATTAAAGTTATGTAAAATTTTATGTAATGTTATGTATGAGTAAATGTTTTTCTTTTTTGTCCGTTAAGGAAACGTGTTTTTTTAAAGTTTTTTTATTTGTTTTATTTCATTATTTTTAGTTTTGTAAACACCAGAAAAACGTGGTTTTTTAAAATATTTATTTTTATATCTAATTATTTTCTTTTTTTTTAGATTATTAATTTTAGCAATTCAAATCAATTTTCAGGGTTGGCAAGTGTGGATGTTCGCCAAAGAAACTCGATTCCAACCGTAATTATTTATTTATTTTTAATTTTTTTTTAATTAAAAAACATTCAAATTATTACTTCTGATGATCAAATCTTGAATTGTTAGGCGGCAATAACATGCATGCCAAATTTCAAGTTTCTCGAATCTTCAGAAGTGCTCTAAATTAAGGTTTGAATTTTTGATGACAGACAGACACGAAGCGAAACAAGAAAAATGTGGTAATAATAAATTGGGCCATGTATTGTGAGATTTTGGAAGTTCGCAAAATTATCAAGATTTTATCTCTACATTGATATTATTTTGCATTCATAATCAACTATGGAGCCAAACCAATTTTTTCGAATCACTGTTAAGTGAACCACGTATACTACGCATCTCAGTAGTCCACGCTATGGATATGGGTGCGGTAAAGAAGATTTGACACGTCGCAGTTGCTCGCGGTAAAGAAGATTTGACACGTCGCAGTTGCTCGCGGTAAAGAAGATTTGACACGTCGCAGTTGCTCGCGGTAAAGAAGATTTGACACGTCGCAGTTGCTCGCGGTAAAGAAGATTTGACACGTCGCAGTTGCTCGCGGTAAAGAAGATTTGACACGTCGAAGTTGCTCGCGGTAAATAAGATTGGACATGTCGCAATTGCTGTGTTCCACTTTAGTTAGGTTAATCTCTTAAACCTTAGTTATGTGGTCTAAGAATGCGCGTTGTTCTTGTCCAGAATACACGGCACCCATATTCCAGTTTACGAAGGTCGTCTCTGAACATGCCTTGGGGCCTAAGATATCGGAAAAAACTGACCGAATGTTGTGTTTTTTTTTTTTCAACACAACAGTGTGCGCTTGATCTTAAGTACAGACTGCACTCGTCTAGTGACGGATCATCCACGTCGTTTTTTAAACGTATTAAGATTGTTCATCTGACTTTGCTGCTACCTAATTTCTGAATTGTATGTAGCTGAAAGTTTATATAAAAATAAGAACAATAATACATTTTAATCTATATTATAATAGTAGTCTATTAATGTTCTAAATTATTCAGATGGAAAAAGTTAAAAATCACCGAAAAGATAGTAAAGGATATAATTGTAAACCATCATCACGTAATTCACAAACTACTGACAACGCCTGCGTGTAAATAAAATTTAAACCTGTTATAGCGAGCTCACGAGACTCGGGGATCGATCAAGCAGAATTTATTATTTTTGAATTGATGCGGCGCGATAATTCGACACAACTACTCCAGTCAACCTTGAGGGGCAGTTATTTACTGACCATTTCAGGTAGTGAGTTACTTGCTTGTGTTTATACATCGAATGCCTGTTGCATGCACGTGGCGGGCGAATATGCCAATTTGTACCATTATGTTGAAAAAGGCAATAGTGTCGAAAAGTTGCTCCGTATTCGTATTCTAATCAGTATGTAGGAGCGATGTAATCTTCTTCAACAATGTATATTTATGATAGTTTTTTTATGTTTATTGAACCCTAATTTTCTCCAATTTTGTTTGGGTAACGTGCGGCAGACAGAGTGAAAAACTCGGTCGATTTGACTTTCATCAAGGGCGCGCAATATCCTCTATTTTATTTTATTATTATTATTACGTTTTTCTTAGTTTCGCTCCGTATCTGTCTGGCATCAAAAATTCAAACCATAATTTATAACACTTCTGAAGATCTTAGAAACTTGAAACTTGGCATGCATGCTTATGCTGCCTAACAATTCAAGATTTGATCATCAGAAGTAAAACAAAACTAAAAACAATGTAATAAAACACATAAAAACAACTTAAAAAACACGTTTTCTCAACGGACAAAAAAGAAAAACATTAACTCTTACATAAAATTAAAGTTTGTAGAATGTTATGTAAGCGTTAATGTTTTTCTTGTTTGTCCGTTAAGAAAACGTGTTTTTTAAGTTTTTTATTTGTTTTATTTCATTGTTTTTAGTTTTGTCACCACCAGAAAATCGTGGTTTTTAAAAATGTTTGTATTTATATTTATTTTCTCGCGATTTGTTTACGCACTGGAATTTCCCACGACATTGAATTCTTTGGGGAACTCTCGAAAATTTATTCAACTTTATCACAGAAGATGAATGTTTGCTGTCGGGTTTGTTTATAAAGGCAGGGTGGCCCAGTGGTTACAGTTCAGAGTACCTGGATTGGCGCAGAGAGGCGCGTGTTCGATCCCAGCTCCGTGGGTCAGTTTCTGGTCAGAATCGGCGAGGAGGCCGGGCGGTTAAGCATAGCAGAATTGGAGCAGTGAGTTGTGAGTTCGAGACTGCAACAAGCAGTAAATGTACTCCGATGTTATGAATCGGCGACAGGCCTACGGCCTAATAAACGTTGAAACCGCTGTATTATTATTATGGGTGTGCAGGAGTTTGCGCTAGCAAAGGTATCAAAAAATCCCTATTGAGAATCGATTAAACCCACTCTCCTGAAATTATTACAGCCTATGCGCCTGCGCAAAATCAACATATTCATCAAATTTGGTTAAGATTCAAGTTCGTTTGCCGCAATTATCGGCTAATATACCTAATTCAAAAAACTACTAAGCCCGCTTACCTGAAATTATTACTGCCATTAAGCAGGTGTAAAAATAAAATTTTTCTCGTGTTCGGTGTTGATGGAAAATGAGTACTGAGAGATGGCTTAACTAACTTGCCTGAAAATGTATCAAATCTGTTAGCACGGAATGTTCAATTTTGTTTTAGTCCGATTTAATGATTTACGAAAATATCTGGCAGATTATTAACTACGTTCTTTAACATCTTGTCACGTCTACATATTAAGACCGTTTCAGTGTATGTATAAAGAATTCAATGGAAATTCTTCTGGGAAGTACTGTAATAGCTCGAATAGTTTAGGCATTATTACCAATCATTTTTGTACAGGATTCCCATCAAAATTTATTCATTTATTATTTATTATTCATAAATTTATTATTTATTCATAAAAATCACAGGGAGCCAAATCGGAACACGATCAGGATCTGAGCCGATAAGAAACCCGACCCAAAGGATGAATACGGAACGAGTACGAAATGCTCGGTGAGTAGCGAAATGGAACGGATGTAATAAAAGTACGCTTCGACAGCAAACGCACGCTGCTCACTAGTCCAATGCATAGTGGCAACTGACTAGGCGGGACACAAAACTAAAGTAGAAATAAATAAATAAAAGTAATTTTCTAAAAAGTAGAAAATAAATAAATATAAAAACCATTTATAAAAAACACATTTTTCTGGTGGTTACAAAACTAAAAACAATGAAATAAAATAGATAAAAAAACTTAAAAACCACGTTTTCTTAACGAACAAAAAAGAAAATATTAACTCTCACATAACATTAAAGTTATGTAGAATGTTATGTACTGTTATGTACAAGTTAATGTTTTTCTTTTTTGTCCGTTAATTAATGAAAACGTGTTTTTTAATTTTTTTTTTTTTGTTTTATTTTTGTTCCACACATGAGAAGTATTTTACTCATTACATCTGCTATGGGAGTTTATAAATACTGAATTTTAAATGTTTTTTGCATCTAAAACCTAGATTATTTTATAAACTTGTTTACTCTGATTCAGCGACGAAGATTCGTGGGAACAACCTCCGTCTGAATTCGACGCGCCGGTCGAGCCAGAGACCCGCTGGACGCGGGTGAAGACTCGCAACAAAGATTTCATCGAGACCGTCACTTGGGACGGCCCTGCACAGGCATTCGGGTAACTGGAAACATTTTAGTTTGTTTTCTTTGCATTATTTGTTAGCCTGCAAGTGGTCAAAGTGTTGATTTTTTGTGATTGGTTTTTAAGATTTGTAACGACAGAAGCACCTCCCAGCCTGAAAACTGCCAAAGGTCCGAGAGGAGATTGTCGAATAACCCAACAAATTTCTTGATTATCCAATGAGTTCCAACGTGTTTTGTTTCAGCGCCGGTCATTGGTTTCGTCGGCTGGTGTGGATGGCGTTCTTCTTTCTGTGCACAGTGTACAGCATCATGCAGTGCTACGAAGTCGTCACTGAGTACCTCAAGTACGCTAAAGATGTGTCTGTTCAGGTAAGACATAAAAAGATTTATTTCAGGTTTCTTAGTAGATGTACCAATGTATGAGTAGTACAGTAGATGTACCTTAGTACAAATGATGAGTAGATCAGCTTGCGCACCAAGTGTTTTAGTCACATAAAATACGTAGAATGCCACGAACTAATCATTGGATTATTTGCACTGTACAGCCAAATCACTTTGAATTCTCCTTAATACGAAATTCTGGAGTTGTTACCGAAATTTTTATTGCGAAAGCAGTGTGAATCAAATTTGATCCAACATATGGGATAAATGCGCTCGGTTTTAGTTCTGTGTATCCTGAAATGATATGTCCTCAGTTGCAAGTTCAGAAAGTAATCTGAACGATATTTAATACCTAAATAATGCCCAGATTTGGAAAGTATCTGATGGAATTCTAGTTAATGATTGATTTTTTATTTATAATTCAAACTACAAATGCCCAAACGACGAACAAAAATTTTCAGTATTTTGACCAAAAATTGTACAGTGGAGGGTCAGGTTAATATTAATCGCTTGCTAATTGACATTTTTTTAACTTTTTATACACATGTTAAACACTCTACAGTGCAGGTGCATTTTATTTGTATGAATTAGAAAAATTGAAATACATGTGAAATGTTTCTAAAAACCGTGAAATGGGGGTCTCTGTGAAAATTTTAAACTCACAAAATTGAAGACATAAAAACTCTAAAATTAATTTTATATGTGATACAAATTTATGATTATCGACCACACAGCTGTTCTTTAAATTTAATTTTTACTCCTTTTTGGGAAGGGGAGTTTTTTTTTTTTGGTCCCTCCACCTCCCTTATATATATAAATAAATAAAATGTCTCCTTGAAAATAAATAAATAATGAAAATGACGGCAGAATAGAATGATTTTGGCATAAGGTATCGAATGAAGATATGTCTCTCGATGCTCTAGTTCTAGAACGATAGAATTTCATTTCAATTTTAATTTTTCACGAGAAAAAATTATCGAAACAGTGTTCAAAAAGTATAGAGTAATAATTACTAGGCACTATATCTCTATAATTCCCATCGTCTATTGCTCGTAATGAATTGCATGTTACATCTTGCAACACAGGACTCGTTCATATAACAAGTTTGGCGTGCATATAACAATCATTATACATAGAATTTTTAAAATTAATTATATATACCGATTTTCGAAAATTTTAAATTCACTATAACTTAAAAATTTCATGAGTCATTTCAAATTTCAATCACAAAAATAGGATTTGCTGCGTTAGATGCGCTTTGTTTACAGCTACAAAATAAGTTCAAAATCAAAGAAACCCTCCCTTTAAGGTCCAGGTGTAGCCAGCTTCAAAATATGTACCAAGTTCAGGTTCAAACTATATAACTTTACTTTGTATGTCCATATGGTAACACAGTGAAATCTTTGCCTATCCTCGGTTTCGCAATCGGTCTATCCGGTCAGAACTCCGACTTTGAACAAATCGGCCCTGGTTTGCCGAAGGAAGATAGTAATAAGAGCCTCAATTTTCATTTAAGCATTTTAATTTCATTGAATGCGTATTTCGATGAGTGTACCTGCTTTGATCACCAGTACTTATGTGTTCTTTAGTCAAAATTGTATATATAACGCAAAGTTTATCTCAGGTTCAAACGGAGCGCCCGGCGCAGTTTCCAGCTGTGACTCTATGCAACTTGAACCCCATCAACAACGAAGAGGCGCTCAGGAACGACGCAGTCTACGGCGCCTTCATCGAAGTCCAGGAAAAGAACACAGGCCCTGGTGAACACTCCGCTCATGCAATTATTTATTCTCATAGTGATGAATAATTTCTTTCGTTAGCGAACGAAAAATGTCTGTATAATTGCAATTGCACAATTTTCAATAGGCCACAGCTAACATTTTTGTTTAGATTTATTACCATCTATCGAATATTTCATTCTGATCATACTCCTCCAATGGCCCAAAAATTATTTACTGTTGTTTTCTATCTGTTTACTATAAAAATATATGAATATTTATAAATGTCATTGAATTTATGTATTAATGCAATATTATTTTCCACTACGTAGAAATATTTCGGTTTCATTTCATGCGTAGCTGAAGCGTATTATTTTTGTTTTGACCGCGCAATTTTTCGAATAACTGCTGTTTGTTTTTTTCTGATATCTGATAAAATTAAACGTAAAGTTTAAAATTTATCGTTTTGATAAATGCACGATTAAATCCAATGCATTAGCATAAAATCTCATGTCAAGCTTCACATATTTCCTCAATATCTAGAGCTTCCGGAGTTACTTAGATTGAAACTAAACAATGCAACATCTTCTATTTTCCAGAATGTGAAGACCTGAAATCTGTCAGTAATGATCCATTGGATAAATGTGAGTATTTCAATAAACTGAGATAACTCTCGAAACAATAAAATGCCAAGTAATTACTGTACTGAACAATAAACCAAACAATTACTAAACTGAATTTTACTTTAACTAAAAAATTATTAATGAGCGATTTTCCAGCCATATTTTTCAGGAGCTTATTATTTCTATTTTATCATTTGGAACTTATAAAAGAATACAAAACCTCATAATAAAAAAGTTTACCTCAACAGATTTATACGATGACGACTGCGAGTTGGATCCCCTTTCCGAGCTCGACGAATTTCTGGAATATTTTGATGACCCCCTGGGAGGAGGTTTTCCAGTGCCAGGACAAAGGGAAACGCATGCAGTTTCTCCAACATTGGTATGTACCTTAAATATATTTGGTACATTGGTATGTACCTTTTGCTTGTAGCTGAAGCGATCACTGTTGTTATAATAGATTTCATTCTCATCTTGGTTGAACAGTTCATTGCTTCAACTTTACTTACAAATATTTATGCATTGAAGCAAAATTGTCTCGCACGAACTTCATTGGACATGTGAGATTGTTTTCTAATTCACTTATGATGATTCACAGTCATAGTTCAACTTTGGATGTTTAGACAGAACTGAAAATTTGTTACTGTAAGATTAGAACTAACGAGAGCTCAATGAATGCAGATCCCACTTCCATTCAACTCTACTATCCTACCCAAGCTCCCCACTGTCAGTGCGCAGAACACACGTGTTATTATAACAGGTGAATCGTTATCCAATTTCACAATAACTATCTTACTCGTACCTCACAATTGAAACACTAATACTAAGTTAGTTGATCATATAAAGAGAAGATGATAATATAACTGATATATTGAAAATCCCCTAAGTTTTAAATAAAATGAAATCGGCCGAGTCTTTTAGATTTTGATTGAAACGGATAGTTGGGGGTTAAAACCCGCTATTAGTTGCGGAAATTCTGGTAGAAATCGGCAAGGAGGCCGGGGAGTTGTTAAGAATATAGGGAACTGGCTAACATATCCTAATCAAAGCTAACACTAGTAATTTATACTATTATGAAATTGACGAATTGTGGTGTTATTTTCGTGGAAACTTATGATAGTCCTTGATTGCTCGCACAGACCAGTCTACATACATGGAAAAGGACAAAGCCTTCCAGCGGTTGCAATGTAGCTTCATCTACCAGTACCAAACGAAGCTTGAGGAGCAGACAAAGAAAAACTTCACTTTTGCTACGGATAACGGCACGGTGGATTACCCTATCAGCGAACTGGTCAAGAGTGTTGGGGACATGCGGTTCTGCGCAAACTTTGGTGAGATACATCGTACCGTCAACATTGTTTATATTCATTGCAATTGCGACTTATTGAAATAGTGGAAATATCAACTTGAATACAAGTGGTCATTTAAAGAAAAGCAACTTGGGTCTAAAATTAGTATACCTAAATTTTCGCTTCTATTTTGTTTGTCATATTCATGATTGGTAATCAAAAGACTAATGCCTATTTAAAATTTCAAAAAAAGTAATACACTAAAATTTTACTGTCTATGAAGATCTAAAAAAGAGTCACCATATTTTTTATCTGAAAAAGTTGCCTTAACCAGTTCATCATTTCTAAATCAAAAATAGTTAGACATGAAGGCGCTGGTTTTATGGACCATTTTCATTAATTAATTATACGGTGAATTTACTTTTGAACAATTTGGCTAATAATTCGTGGACAATATTTGATTCAAGAAACCAATTGATCATAATACTGGTAAATGTTCAATATCGCATAGTTTTGACGAGCTATCGTTTTTAGATTGAATTTTTCATCTACTGAGTAACTTGACCTTTTTATTCCTTTATGGCCCAGTAGCTCGAATTTTAGAATACATTATTTAGCGACACATCCCATGAAAAATTGATTCGTGCTCATATTTCAATTGATTCGGACGTTTCTTCCTATTCAAACGAGAAGAGGCGTGGAAAGATAAGTCTGTCAACATTCGTTACAACCTAGTCTGCAAGAAAGAAGTCTACGAGGATTTACTTGGGAACTACACCGATATCAACAGAGGTTGGTACATCAATCATATTTGGTTTGCATAAACTGTGATACAATTACATCGAATTGCCATGTCATTCCGTTCGTGAAATTTATGCATGTCCTTGGCCACTGATACTTTTTTGTAACTTAGGAATACCGAAGCATGTAAATTTAAAGGGAAAATGTTTGTAATATAATTCAATACTTGAATTCTTTTAAGTCCTCATTCCTCATAAAAAATCATTAATTTATCCTAATAAGATTGATGACGTACATAAAATAAGAAATAAGAAGAAAAATGTGATGAAAACAAGCTTTTTCAATTGCACACATTCCACGACAGTGTCGAATCGAAAATCTTATGAGCGAAAATCTTTTTGAAGCGCGTTAAGGATAACCACGACAAGGATAACCAGGCACCCTTTTCGTGGAAAAAACTGGGTCAGGATTACATCGCAAAAAGTGCATCGCTGTTCGAGCAATGTTTCTTCAGTTGTCCGAGCGCGACTTGCATCACCGGCTATATACCCACTTTTAAGTGTTGTGCCGACAACTCTCTTCTCGCTGCCGGATTTAACAGTTGTGCATGTGGTAGACATGACCGCATATATTGGAAAGCTTACTGACAAAAAAATTGCGACTGCGTAGTGCCAAGACCATCACAGCTCTTAGTTTCAATTTTATAAATGACCGTACATTTATATATTGTGCATATGTATTTAAAATCAAACTGCAAAGGCATACATTTTATAAATTAAAAGCCAGAGATATTGCGATTCTGAGAATTGGAAAAATAATTTTGAGAAAGTAACATTTTAAGGGGATCGACCTGGCTAAAATCGATCAATTTTGGCTTTTCCGGTTTTTCTACTCATCTTAAAGCTGGAATTCTGCTCTTTCAAATGGTACCACTGCCATCTCTCTACGTGAATATTTACGTTCATGACGGCTCTTTAAAAGGAGGCGGGTGGGAGAGTTCTTTAAGAAATTAGATACAAAGTAAATAAATGCTGAAATCTTTGAATATAGTTTCTACCTGAGTTGTGCTGCAGTTACTTGCTTAGTTTCATCCTAAAGCTGACATTCTGAGCTTTAAAATGATACTACTAACGTATGTATGTGAAGTTTCATGACAATCGGATAATAACTGTAGAAGTTTTCAAAATGCCAGGTTGATCCCCTTAATGAATTAAATTCAGATGAATAATTCTTCATTTCCTTGACCTCACAAGCTTAGGTTCGCGCGATCTTATTTTTGTTGGGATCCGGCAATCTGCTTGCTTTTATAATCTAAAGATCGGTCTGTCTATGTGATCGGGCGCTTCGGGATCGGGCGAGAGATTGTTTGTGAATCAGCTGGTATTTAAAATCGGGCAATCAGCTGGTATTTGGAATCGGGGGGTCAAATTGCCTCTAAGTTCGGGCGATCGGACTTTCTTTTGTAAAGGGCGACCCGAACGTCTTTGGATCGTATAACTGATTGAAATTATTAAATTTTTTCCAAGATGAGTGTGGGAAGATTACTCCCGAAACCCTTTTTCGGAATGCACAATTTTCAAGAATCTACAATAATCTTCATCTTTATTCGAGACTAGTAATTGTGTTGGTTTTGATATGAATTATTCTATAATTGTTTATCAACCAACACCAAAGGAGATCGTGAGTTCGAAATTCATTCAATTCTTGCAATTCCTGCAGAACAAGTAATGCAGCAGATTTGACTGGTCATGGTACTTGATTGATTTCAGGTAGTTATGTTATTACCACTTGATTGCTTTCATATAGTTATGCTATTAACGCTCAATTGATAATATTGTATAGGTAGGCATCACTCGATTATTGTATTATAGGTTATCAACACTCGATTTATTGTAGGCAGTTACATGTATGTGATGGATATCTTCTTCATTTTAGGTAGCCATTGTAACGAAACAATGGAGAAGAATAAAAACTCTTCAGTTGCACATGGAAAAACATCTTGGCTTTCCATTTCCATCTTCTGTTAGAGTTACCCTAAAAACGGAAATATTGCCTCCAAAAATTTTGCAAAAGTATACATGAATACGAAATTTGTTATGCAAATATAGCTTGTATATAAACTATACATTAGCTCCAACAATGAACTTCATGTTAGCAAATTAGTTTTGATAAAAAGATCATAACGCGCAAGTTCTGACGTTTTATGGGTTGCTGTCATTAGTGGTAAGAAGTTCTGCTAATATACTGTACAATTAGTACATCAATGAACGTATCTGGCCATCATTTACGATAATGTTCGCAAGATATATACAAATGTTTCAGCCGTAGTCCTTACGAAATAATTCTGACGCACACCAGAGTTAATCCATTGCGTGTCGCGTTGTGTAAAAATTCGAAAAACTGACCATAACATTTGAACGAAAATTGTTGCGATTCGTTCAAATTGAAAATTCTAACAAACAAAAAATAGGCTTTAGCAACTACGCTCGGAACTCAGCTCACTATCCTAACAAATTTTCTTCGTGATCTCATTTGGATATACCATTGCCCTTTTATCATAGCGATAAATTTTTGACAATTTAAGCATTAAACAGACCATTACTGGCAATTTTTGAGTTCAATAAATCTTGTCTCCGGCTTATCACATATTACGATTCACAGCCTACAACGAGACCTACATCAACGCCACTCATGTGAACGTTTCTTGTGCATCAGGAGTCCACGATCTTCGGAGTGAGTATATTGAATGTTTTTCAAATATCTATTTTCTTCTAAATGTAAATAATTCGTAGACATCGAAAATCAGAAAAAAGACCCATACTAAACAAAGTATGTAAAATGATGCGACAGCATGAGAAAAAACATGTACTTGTTAATAACACCTTTCGTAAAAGACCTAACAGTACTTGTTCTTTACTAATATCTTTGTTTATCTCAATCTGCAAATAAAAATATTGGTAGGATTTTCGTGGCTTTCAACGACATGTGCGTTAAAGAACTACTTTTGTTCAACTGTACCGATTATCAACAACAATGCACCTTTTCAGATTTATGGCAGCCTGCTAAAGAAATCAGGATGACTGCCAAACGAGTAGAAGCCCTCGTAAGCCGTAGCCGCACTAACGACTTGTCGGATCTCAGGGGGCGCTTTGCCCCCCACCTGGACGTTATCGAGAAGACGGCGAGGAAACGAGAAGACTTCATCCAAGTGTGCAGCATCGACAACGTACATTGCAATTACAAGTAATTTTGCCTTCACATGTATTGCTATGTTGCCTTTTTTACAAATAATGTTGCAATTAAAAGTAATTTTACAATTGAATTTAATACTGCAATTACAAATAATCTTGCAATTACACGCAATTTTGCCTTTACTAGTATTGTTATGTTGCCTTTTTTTAAAGTAATGTTGCAATTACAAGGGATAATGCCTTTACTAGTATTGTTATATTGCCTTTTTTGAAAGTAAAGTTGCAATTACACGTAATGTTGCAACTACAACAATTTTGCCTTTACTAGTATTGTTATGTCGCATTTTTAAAAGTAAGGTTGTAATTACACAAGTAATGTTGAAATTACAGGCAATTTTTTTAAAGTAAAATTGCAGTTACACAAGTAATGTTGCAATTGCGCGTAATGTTGCAATTACAAGCAATTTTGCCTCTACTGGTATTGTTATGTTGCCTTTTTTAGTAAAGTTGCAATTCCACAAGTAATGTTGCAATTAAAAGTTATATGTCAATAATAAGTATGACTAATATTGCTATCACATGTATATAGAGCTATTCTCTCTCGGTCAAATAACCAGATACCTGCAGAAACTAAAATATGCTGCGCTGTCTAGCAAACTGCGTTTGAATTAGACGAAATACTTGAATTAAAAAGCTGTAGATAGTTGGAGAAACTAATTTTGTTTTTTTCATGTTTCAATTTGGAATAAAAAAATTCCTGATCGCTTTGAATTATATTCAATGGATTTTCTATTAATGTTTGCTAAATATGTTTCCAATCATTTTCGTTGCACTTTTGCAACAAGTAAACTATTTATTCTTGCCCTCGCATCTAATTTAAAAATGTCGAGGGTGATTCATTGATTTAAATTATCGTACTGTAACTCCAGTTACCAAACAAATGCAAATATCATGGAAAATGCTCTGCCTATCCGCACACAAAAAATTGCAAATCAATATTTTCCAAGCTCCAAAATCATTGGCCACGTATTTTTCATGTTCAATGGTCAATAGCTCGTCAAAAACCCCTTTTGTGGTTCATCACTACGAAGCATTCATTAAAGTCAAGTTAGAATACAATTAGTTACTGGGTCTTGCCACCTGGACAATTTCAGACTATTTCACCCGTACACGACGAAAGATATGGGAGTTTGCTACACGTTCAACAGCCCCCACCTCGTCAGAGAATCCAGCCCCAACGTCAGCATCGAAGACCGCAGGGAGAACTTCAAGCCAAGAACTTCGTTCAAAATCGGACCGCAGGTTTGCTTTTTCGGGTGGATATTCTAACATTGGAAATCGAATTATCAAATACGTACTTGAGTATTCAATAAATTGATTATAATCTGCCTAAATACAAAATATTAAATACTATTCAGGTTATATTTATCGACTTGAATAAGGATTTAATTCAAATTTAAACATAAATTTAATTGTTCAAAAATATGTGGCTAATTATTTTGATGAACATTTAAGATTGCATTTCAAAATTGGATGAGAGTAAGTGTGCTCTGAATTTAAATTTATTGAAAAATAAATATTTAGTTATTATATTTAAAACTGAAACTTTGCAGTAAATCGGCATTATCTTTGAAAGCGTGTTAGCCAATCCAGGAAAAATTTTAACATCTCTACCAGGGCAATTGGGTGTCCGTCATAAAGCGATAATTGGTTTATTCGAGTAGACATTAATGTGAATTTCACAATGAATGTGCACTATTATGCACAAACCAACATTTATTTTAAACGAATTATCCAGCAGAAAGATTTATTGTTAAATTTATATTGTAATAGTCTGCACAAACATACACAACATATAGTCTGCACAACATTGTCTGCACATTGTTATAGTCTGCACAAAAATAATCCTTCATCAACACACCCTAAGCGGGAACACTCGTCATTGCATCATAGCAAAAACTACTAAATTTAGCAAAATAAATCCGCATTTTCTCTTGACAACTACGCGACCAGAGCGGCCTGAGCCTGACGCTGAACCTGCACGCGGCGAGCTACTTGTCGTTGCTGTCGCCCTGGTCGGGGCTGCGAGTGGTGCTGCATGAGCCTTGGCAGGCGCCCTTCCCGGCCGATGAAGGCTTCAACCTCGCCGCGGGACTGTCGCACTCCATCGCTGTAACCAAGGTGAAATAAAGCGCAATAAAATCTCTTAATTTAATCAATGTTTATTCAAATTTGGGCTGAAGCCGAGTTAAATATTGACAAGAATCAACCAAGACAAAAGTAGTTCAGTTGCAAATAAACGGATTAATGTTTGTTACGGACTACGTCAATGATGGGACCATCGCGCCTTTGCTGTTACGCATGGGAAAGTGAATGGCTCAAATACGAGTAAGAACTTATCATTCCAATCATACCATATTCATTGGGATCAGTTGTATAGGGTTCTTCAAACCACACATATTGTTGCTTATTTTCAAAATGAATTGAATTCTGGTCTGCGTGTAACCATAAATTGATCAACGCGGAACTACATAAATTAAAGCCGTGAATTAATTACCTTTCTAATCATAACAATTGACGCAGACTGTGGTGAACCGCGCAGGGCCTCCATACGGACAATGCGACGACACCAGCAGCAAGATGTTCGACTACTCTGAAACGGTACGTCTTCAAAAATTCATGATTCTGAATTCCAATTACTTGTATATTGGAAGTCTAGCGAGGAATTACCATGGAAAATAATTTTTCGTGTTAAGCTTCATTATACAGGTTGTCCCAAAAAAAAACGATACTCAACTTTGAATGGCTGTAACTCAAAAAGTAATAGAGTTAAAAAAAATTGGAAGGTCAGGATTTGTTCCCTATGTTTTTCAACTATTGTGCTCGCCATGTCCATCTGTCTGTCTGTCCGTCCGTCCGTGACCTCAAGTTTTCGTCGACGAGAAAATGCGCTCTCTGTCACTCACTGCAGTGAGTACTGAGTTAAATTTTTTGTTTCTTTGGTGAGACAAAAACATGGCGATCTTTGGTGAGAGGCAATCATGACAATCTTTGGTGAGAGACAATCATGACCATCTTTTTGAGACACAATCATGGCAATCTTTGGTGAGAGGGAATTTTAAAACCAAAGATTGCCTCTCTCCAAAGATTGCCTTTCACCAAAGATGGCCATGATTGAGTCTCACCAAAGATTGTCATGATTGTCTCTCACCAAAGATTGTCATGATCGTCTCTCACCAAAGATTGACATGTTTTTGTCTCACCAAAGATACAAAAAATAAAACAGCGAAAAGAAAACATGTCAAGACAACGCAATGATTATACAAAATGATCTTACTAAAACTTTGCGCAAGCACAATTTTAGCACATGTCACTGAAAGTTCTATCAAACGCTTATGGCTACATCGATCTGTCTGATTTTTGGTGGAGAGATGTAGAAAAACATAGGGAACAAATCCTGACCTTTCAAAAATTTTTAACTTTATTACTTTTTGAGTTACAGCCATTCATAGTTGAGTATCGTTTTTTTGGGACACCCTGTAGAAATTTAATAATCTGCAGAGCTAATAAAACTCTGACCCGTTCGAGTAATTGTAAATGCCTAGTTACTATCAGATATTCTTTACTCTCTACAATCCTTCTAAGCCTATCGCAAATAAGACTTCGACCTCGAAGCAAAAATAGGTGAAAATAATGTTTTATAATATCAGTGTTTTAATATTTGATATATAAAATTTTTTTTATTGATTAATCTATTGGCATGTTGGCTTCCTTCTCCCCGTAGCTGTGCAATAAGCTGTGCATTGAACGCGAGTTCCGGCGTCGGTGCAACTGCACAGTCAACGAGGGCCCCGCCTTCGACTCCCTCGGCGAGGAGGACGAGTTCAAGGCCAAGAAATTCGGGAATTGCGATGCCTTCGACCGCTATCAGGGTGAGAATTAATTATGCAGTGTGATCAACGTAGTGGTCAAATCAAGTGTTAATTAATTTACGTGTGGTTAACATAGATTTCCTCTTTTGATTGATATAAAACACAAAACATGCAATGCACTTCTCCTTTGACGGATGTTTTGATGATCACTGCTAAGAAATAATTTCGTGAATATGATGGCACCCAAAATTCTGGAAAACAGAAAATTGACAAATTTTTTAATAAGCTTCCATGTTTCTAATCCACTGCCATCAAATTATGAAAAATTTTTAGAGCAAGTATGATCAGATTTTCTATCCTAATTTTGGTTGTTCCAGATCTATCATTTCAGGCTTAGTTCCTCACACTTTGAGTGCATACTCTCTACAGCCATTAGCATTTCTTGCAACATTGCTTGCAAATAATAACTAATGAATCATCAAAAAGTTTTACCTCCACAGCTAACTTTGAAAATATTTCGACTATTGTCCGCTCCATCTGCAGGTCTGTGTATGCAAGCAGTGAACTACATGTCCACCACTGAAGAATTCAATTGTAACTGCGACCCCGCTTGCAGGTAAGCAAATCCCATAGACACGATCACACGCGCCCTGGTGAGTGACGAACTCGTGTGGCTATCTCTCGAGGTCTTTCCCTTCACTGATGTTAATATACGAGTGGCGGCCCAAAAAAAAATTGGACTGCCTGTGTGCTGAGCGAAGTTTTGGTAGTACCGCATTATGCCAGTATGTATGAGCGCATGCTACTGACATTCCATGGTTAGTGTGCCAGGCATGGCTACCCTAGAAGGCCATGTTCCATTATCGCACATTTTTTGTAACATTTGTTTTGCGAGCTCGTCGTTAATACATGATGGCTGATTTTCGTGAGCAACGAGATGACATCAAATTTTGTTTTCTTCTGTAAGAAGCTGGCAAGAAAATGCTACAGGCAGCATACAACGATGATGCTATTGTGAGAGAACGCAATTATCTGAGTGGTTTTCCCGCTTCAAAAACTGTGAAATGTCAATTGATTATCAACCTCGGTCGGGCCGTCTTCCACTTACCGCACTTAATAAAACGTTGAGAAAATTATGGACCTAATCCATGAAGGTTGACGAAACGTATTGACGAACAAGCGGAACTATCCCAAGAGACTTCGACTTCACCCCAACAAATTCTGACAGTAGATTTTGGGAAAATAAATAAATATTTTTTAAATCCGTCCAGTTTCTTTTGGGTCTCCACTCGTATAGTCAGCATTGACGATGAACTCCAGCATGCCTACTAATCCGATGTGCTTTCATGTTTATTTATGTGCGATTTAAAGCAATTAAAAATTTTTTTAGTGAAATACTAGGATACGGTATTGTTTTCTCGGATAAATTTAGTTGTTTTAAGTTTTATCGAATGCAGATGCTTCTACTAACGATGCTGTGTAAAAATACAAATAATTTTCTTAACCATTCCCTAACTATATAACGACTTCGTTCATAGCCTTCGTCAGGCTGCATAATTTTACTACGTAACAATCGTATCGACAGAGGTGGGCAGTAGCGCTCTACATGTAGCGGTAGCGGCCGCCACTATAGCGGCCGCTACATTTTCATTAGCGGTAGCGGTAGCGGCGCTGCATTTAAGGCAATGTAGCGGTAGCGGTAGCACCCGCAACACATTTAAGTAGCGATACGAGGTTTTGCCGCTACAGCGCTACCGCTACATTTATAGATAAAGCCTTTAGATTTTACTTAATAGTATTAAATATTATTTTAACACCAGCATGATACATACATAATATAAATTACAGAATAAAACTGTACGAAAGATTTCGGTGTAATGTTGTCAACCTCAGCCTGTTACTATATAGTGTCAACATGTTAGTTGTTACTTGTTAAGTTGTTACCAGTTACCACTTACAGGTATTTTTTCATGTTTCACTTTGCTTACAGTTATTTTTATCTTTCACCTTCCCTACATGGATGTCTACTTTAATCTACCAATCTCAAAAATAATCCACAGGTATGTATATATACAAATAAAAGACCGATTTTTTATATGTATATGTGGATAATTTTTGACACTGGTAGATTAAAGTAGACATCCATGTAGGGAAGGTAAAACATAAAAATAACTGTAACTTTTATTTACTGTATCTAACCCGTACTAGTTCGGTTAGGTTAATTGCAATAAAGTTGCATTAATATGTTTTGAAAATGTTTTATTATCATCAAATGTTTATGAGTAAATCCCAATAGCAGAACAATAAATATTTAGAGATTTCCAATAATTTTGGCCACTGTAGCGGCTAATGTAGCGGCGCTACATTTTACTGTAGCGGTAGTGGTAGCGCTCGCTACAATCTAGTGGGTATAGCGGTAGCGGTAGCGCCCGCTACATTTAGAGCATGTAGCGATAGCGGTAGCGCCGCCACATTTCAAAGTAGCGCTGTCCAGCTCTGCGTTTCGAGTGTATTAACAGTGGTACCTATGTAGTCGGGTTCAAGTTAGGGCTGTTTGTGTTTATTTATTCTTACGAAAAAAATTGACTTATTTCTCGTTAGTTGAATTAATCTAAATACCTGGTTTGTGGTTGACAGAGAGGTGCGCTACTCGGCTCTCATATCGTCCACCGACGTCAACATGGAGTTTCTCAAAATTGTCCAGAACATCAAACAGGTTCCGATGGGCGTTGACTTGTGCGGGTGAGTGCTGTGTTCATGAAATATTATCAATCTTTTTCAGTCCGTGCAAAACAGATAATTTCTGCACAATGGAAAACTCAGAATTATCAAAATTTATTAACTGTGAACAAATGTATGAGCCAATTGGCTCTACTCAAGGATTATTACAACAAACTTTTTATTCACAAGCCTTGATGGCAAATATCTATGCCGAATATATTTCTTTTCAATTACGTTCATAAAGCCTTTGGACGGGGCTTAAGATCTAAAAGTACCGCCCAAGATGGCACTTTGTATCGCATAAACTACTTTATATAAGTATTGCACAGTAGATTTTCCATTCTGTCAAAGACACGTGAGTTGCGACTTATCAGATAATTCACTTAGTTCAACGTTCGTCACTAAAGCCACGTATCACCAGTCCGTAACTACGATTTGTAGGGTTCGATTACCACATGCCGTCTCGTTCTCGCTAGAAAGTCGTGGTTCCGTTTGTTCTTAAATTTAAAAGTTTTAACTGAGTGCTGGCGACATGAGTGATGTGGCAGCTAAAGTGGCATTGACGTTACATGAGATGACAGCGCTGCATTTACAGGAGTGAAATTTCATGGCTAGACTGCTATCATGGGCTGAATTATGATAAAACAATAAATTGAAACAAATATTATAGAAAAAGCTGATATTCGTTAATGCCGAAACTTGAAATTAATTCATATTGAAGAAATAATTTTGGTATTAAAAAACTAAAGTAAATGCGAATTTTAAGATTGAATGGATTTTATGGATACTTTTCCTCGCTTAACTAATTAATACTATATAGAGCACTGGATGCGTATTAATTGTCGAGCACAGATTATTGAAGAAAGACAAGTCTTGCGATTAAGGTACATTTAACGAGCATTATTCTAATGACTGCAAAATTTGAATAATAATTCGCGATAATATTCGTGTATATTAAGCCAGTTATGAATACTGACTCAACAATGGCTGTGCATTAATATGAACATTCTATCAAAGTAACCTAATAGAGACACCTGATTTATAATACCACTAATGAATATTTTTCCGATCATTAATGGATTTTAGAAAATTTAAAATTACTCAACGGAAAATGATGATGGTTTGTAGGCTTCAAAACCTTTCATGCAATAACAACAACGTCAACTCTTCCTGAGCAGGAGATGGAAGTCTGCGGTTCGCCTTCAGATCTACATTAACTCGTTTTCATTCGAAGATATTGAAGTGAGTAAAACTTAACAGTGTCTCATGAAGAATGATGAATCCACCGCCTATACAGTGAGTAAAACTTAACAGTGTCTCATGAAGAATGATGAATCTGCCGCTACACAGTGAGTAAAACTTTACAATGTCTCGTGTAGAATGATGAATCTCCAGCCAACACAGTGAGTAAAACTTTACTATGTCTCATGTAGAATGATGAATCTCCAGTTTACACAGTGAGTAAAATCTAACAATGTCTCATGAACAATGATGAATCTCCAGCCTGTAGTACAGTGAGAAGCTCAACAATGTGTCGTACACATTAGCCTGCTAAGGAGTGCTAGATCGATGTTTACATTCCTGCACAAGTTAACAGCACAACATAATGTTTCGATCGACAATACAATACCTTAAAATTTACTCTTGATTAAAGTGTAGCTGTAGTCTATGCACCAAACGCGTACATCTTATTCAGTAGACATCGTCTTGGTTCATCATAGTTGTAATTTTTTCTCGACTTATATGCTTATTTTATGCCCACAGTGGGCGACTCTGATCGCAAACTTGGGCGGCAACTTGGGCATCATAGGCGTGTCGCTGATCACCTTCTTCGACGTGGCCTACTACTTATTCGACGTGTTACTGATCCTGGTGTGTCCGCGCTGCTACGACGCCTCGGGGGGCGTCACCAAGTCCGTCGCTTCCGTCAAGGAAATTTCGAAGAAAATTATCACCTTGGCCGATCCTCCGGAGCAGCCGCCAGACGGTGAATATGTGGGCTCGGACACTGACACACTAATTTGTGGATTGCATGACTCTGACGGGATGATGAAAAATTTCGAAATCGATTTAGCTTGCTTTTTTATAGTTAAAATCCTGAATGGATAGATAGTTCACAAGCATTATTTATTTATTTTTTATGGGGGTTTGGTGGCAATCCTAAGCTGGAAGCTCTCATGCAGAGACTCATTGCTTTGCAACACGGTTGATTAGACTAGAAATAGCAATGAAACAGGATTCAATTTAGCAACTAATTCAGGTGAAACGAGGTTTACTTTGCTTTTATATTGCAATCCCAATCTTTAACATTCTTTCCCGTCAACATTTTTCAGCGTTACAGTCTGAGATGGAATCAGCGCGTAAATTGCTGGCACCCTTCCTGTCCTGAATCATTTTGACGATCATCAACCTCAATATGACACACATATGACACACATATGACACACATATGACATATGATCCCTCCTCCATCCGAAACTCTCCGAAATACATAGGCTTCAAGGGAACCAGTGGGATAATCAACGCACGCACAGCTCCTGCAATTCCAAACAAACGTCAATTTAAGCTTATGCTTATTCTAATGTTTCCGAGCGGATAGTGTCGCCAGTTGAGCTGACGTTCGCTGAAACTAAAATATGAATGTTTTAATTTATTTCCGCAGAGATAAGTGTACCTTTGAACAAATTGAAATTTATCCAAACTCACGGGCGGGCTCGACGGTCGACCCAAATGACTAAACTGCACGTTTTTTGCGAGTGAATCACACATAACTCACTTAATAATGAACCGATCCAAGTAACTGAAAAATCTTTCATGTGTGTAAATGCGACGTCTCTGGCGTTGTCATAATTTCTTAGGTCGTCGTTGTTTTCGACGAAAAGACACACACGACGCTTTCCCACAAGTTCACTCAGAACTCTATCAATTTTGAACCGATCTCATTGATAATTCATAATATAACTTATTAGTACCAAAGCGTCATTGCGAGAACCTTTCCATTGACTGCGAACAAGATCCTATATTATTTTCCCATCCAGAGTAATTTCCTTCGTTGTACTGAACTCCTATTTATTATCTGCATTCCTCATTTTGATAGAAAATTCTCTGGACTCCAGTCAGTCCCGTTAATCTGACGGCTGTGTTACTGTTTCCCTCAGACCAGCCATCCAAGAAGCGCTCGTTGAGGTCAGAAGAAGGGTGGACGGATAGCTTCAACGAGGCCTTCATGAGCGAGTGAAACCATGTTCCATACTCAAAATTTCACACGAAATGGCTTCTTTTAAGGTCCGCACAAAATATGATAAAATTCACATCTCCCGTGGATCTAAGTCCGTCTTATTCGAATACAAGTTACTTAGGAACCATTTTCTGCACTCGCGTTGCGTTCTTTTTATAGGTTGCCAGAAAATTTCATATCCACTGTTTCATAATTTTATTCACTGTTTCATACTGTTTCACAATTTCATAATTTGAGTTAATTTGAGTTTATCCACTGTTTCATAATTTCATATCCAAATTTCATAACCACTGGGCAGGGTGGCCCAGTGGTTACAGTTCAGAGTACCAAGATTGGAGCAGAGAGGCGCGGGTTCGATCCTAGCTCGGTGCGCCAGTTTTTGGTCAAAATCGGCAAGGAGGCCGGCGGTTAAGCACAGCAGAACTTGAATCAGTGAGTTGTGAGTTCGAGACCGCACCAAGCTGTGGATGTTCTGCGATGTTAAGGCCAGTAGTCACAGTGCGACGAAGTCCGTTATGCGAAAAATTCAAGACGACAATGTGGAACCCTTGTTCTGTGTTCAGATCGGCAAGTTGCTGCGCTCGAGCTTGTTGCTTTGTAATATGATATCTGAGCCAGCACCCATCTTATGGCTGCGGCCGTCTCTTAGGTGGCCGAGGAATGGCCTGCGGTCGGCTAGAACTAACTGGCCTCGATCGGCCGACCACTGGCCATCTATTATTACTCGCCCCTCATTGTGCTCCCCTTCACCACAAGAGTGACAGGCGGATAATTTACGAGGTGTATTTCCCCTCATTTTTCCCCAACTCCCTCATGAGAACTGCGGCTTCCAAAGAAAATGTGAAATCTCCGATTTAGCAGTAATGAAAAAATATTTTGTTAGAAAATATCTACACAATAGAAGTTGATTCAGATATGTCTTTAATACCGATCAATAGAGAATAAATAGTACTACATCCTTGTGTCTCACAAAATTAGGTAAATCGCATGGTATAATGAACATTGATTAATCGATGTACAGTAGTTAACGTCTCGAAAAATGTATTATTTCATTTTGAAACGAATTATAAAATAAGGCATGTTCAGGACAATTATAAATGTACCTAGTTAGCCTGCACATACGTCTGATGACAATATTAAAATAAAATAGAATTTCATAATTCGAAAAAAATAAGCAATGTTTGTCAAGTAATAATCTAGACTTTCCTAAAGTGCAACACTGAACCGAAATGCGGATCGTATCCGATTTATTCAATTGGCATTACTTTGTTACCTAGAGCACATTAAACTGGGGTAAGAATCTAATAATAAGATTTATTTATTTTTGTATCCTCTTTGTGTTGTGAGGTGTTGCTATTGTAATGACAAATATGTAACTATTGTCTCATATCAAAACAAGATCTGCCATGTGGCAGCTGTGTGAGTAAAACCTTAAGTTGATAAGAAATATTCCTGTGAGATATAAAATGTAATAAACATGTTGTCAGCTGCTACGACCTATGATATGTATGTGTTCTGTGTACTGATTTATGTAACATTGGCAGGTATTTGGTCTGAGCTACTCTTCTAGTGGCCTCCCTCAAATGTCAAGATCTAAGAAAGAAACTTGAAAAGCATCTCTCCTTGTTTGAAACACCCTCCTGATACCTGATAGTTTTGTGGATGTCATTCTAGAATCTGTTCATGAACTTTGAGGCTAGGTGAGGTCCCACAGTACAACCTTTTCCTCTATAATAACTAATGCTAGACAAAATTTACATATTTTCTGTTACTGTAGAGAAATTATAAATAAATAGCTGAATAAGCATGACAAAATTCAGATTGATAGTTAACTTACGAGCGGAGTTATAATGACTATACGTAGTGATAGATTCTCATAGGGATCCAACCAAGCCTGCCTGAGGGCTCGCGGTTATCAATCGCGGCCTTAAGGATCGGCGATCGGCCTTTGGCCTAATAAACGCTGAAACCGCTATTATTATTATTATTATAACATTTACATCGGTGTGTGATTTGCTCATGAATATTTAATTAATACTGCAAGCGAATCAGTATAATGGTAGAATACATATATGGGAATGAAATTCCACCTATGATACTAAAACAAATTATTATTTAGTCAATGTTCGCACAAATATATTTTATTTATATTTTATGCTATTTGAGTGTTGATACACGTTTAAGAATCATAGTTTTGCGCTCAGATTAAGCGAGCAAAAACAAATTTTAGTGTTGACCTTGAAATTCAAGGTGAAGGTTGAATGCATAATTAATCCCATATAAAGAATTAAATTGCATTATTAAATAGCTCGAATACAAATCATACTATTACACGTAGTTTTTTTCCCACTCAAGGTCTATAGTCAGCTGTTCTGTTCTGCATTTATACTTCAGTCGGTGAGCAGCTGAGGTAAAGTTCGGTGTGCTAGTGTCACTGTATATTAGGATACGTTTGTTAGCAGACACGGCTGGAAGCTTTAGCGAGGTATCTCATGCAGCAGCTATATTGAAGTATTTGCTGTAGTAAAAGCTTTCAATGATGATGCGCATGAAAAGAAAGTTAACCTTAGTATTGGTGGTGAGTATTTATGGTGATACGACCAAAATTATTGCTTACTTTGAATTTTGTCAAGTTTTATACCGCCAGTATCACTATCAAGTACCTATCATAGTATACCTGTGTGAGACTTTGAGTAAGAGTGACGTGACGCGTCTTCTTTGTATTAAGCATATGTTATTTGGAATACTAGGCATACTGGCCGTAACTGTAGGCAAAATTTTTGTTTTATAGTTTTTTAGGTAAGCTGCGTTGCTTCATTTCACAAATTCACTGCGAAATTTAGCAAAAATACAGGGCATTTCTGCATTTGTAAAGTTTCCAACAAATTGACTTAATTCAAGAAGGATGCTACCCCTTTAGTGAGGGAAAATTTTCTCAATAAATGGCAGGAGAGACTCAGGCGGAAAAGCATGGAGACTCAGGTCAACCACCTTCACGATGTCAAGACAACACCGGCCG